ACGGGGGGTCCGGGGCTTGGTTCGGCGGCTAGTCCAGCTTTTCGCCCCGGCTTGGGGCCCCCGGTTCGCACTCCGGATGACGACCCCTGTCATTGGGAAAGGGCGGAGGACGGCGGGGCGCACGGCGGGATAGGCACGGGTCTTGCCGTTGCGGATTCTGTCAAGTCGACGGGGACCCTCGGATGTTCGCCCCGGTCTAGGGGCCACCGGACGCACCTCCGGAAAACGGCGAGCTCCCTGCACGTGGCCGGGCGCGGAGGCGCGCGCGGCGGCCCGGCGACGCCTTTTGCCGTCGCGGATTCTGGTAGAAGTGCCGAGCGGGCGCCTGGGCGCGCCGACCGCGCGGGAGGGCCGCTCTTCAGTCGCTCGTCTCCGCGAGCCGCTGCTGCCGCGGCTACTGTACCCCGCAGTCATTAATGCCGCTGGCCTCCTGCCCTCTGCGGTGAACTAGCGCCAGGGGCGGCCGGGGAGGGGGGGGGCATCACGTAATCGGACAAGCCGCACTGGAGCCGCGAGCTGGAGACACGGACCGTCGGAACCGTCGGAACGTCGCTCGTTACAGAAGTAGAGGAAAAAGCGAGCCGCACAGCGCGCCCGTTTCGGTTTGGAGGCGGAAGCCTTTTGTTATCAAACGGCTTAAAAGCGGCGTTTTCTCGCTGTTGCGCTTGTCCGCGCAGCCATGGCGCAGCCCGGGGGATTCGGCGAGGGAAACTGCACTTGCAGTGCAGGTGGACGGCAACGCGCCCAACGAGGCAACTTTGTTGGCAACGAGTTGGCAGTGCGCCGTCCCTTCAAATTAATTTGATATTCCAGGCTGCGCCCAGTTTCAGCTTCAAACCTCGTAGAAATCATAAAAGACCTTCCACGCGGCCTGTGAGGCGTCTCGTAGAAAGCAGAAGGGCCGCGTGGAAGTCAAAAAGGACCATTCACGAGGCTTGGCTGGTCGGGTCGAAAAACGGCACCTCCCGATTTTCCGCGACTTTCCGCCATTGTCGATCAGTTTCCTTCGGTTTCCTGCCTCCGCGCCGCACCGCTCGCCACTCCCCGCTGATTACAGTGCGGGCCCGGAACGCCCACCGCCAGCCCCGCCACTCCGAAGGAGCGTTCCGTCGCCCCGTCTCTGTCGCACTCGCGGGGCGTCCCCTGAGGGTGCGACAGAGACGGCGCGACCAAACGGCCCTTCGGATTGGTTCGGTTCGCCAGCACGCCGCGGGGCGCGGGCCGCACAGTGGGCCAGAAGACCGGTGCAGGCGGCCAAAACTCTAGACGCGTTTTGAGCTCCAGAGTCGCTAAATGGGACTCGAACCGAACGTGTGACCCCACCAATCGATTCCTCGTTCGGAGAGCAATCCATTGGTGGGGTCACACGTTCGGTTCGAGTCCCATTTAGCGACTCTGGAGCTCAAAACGCGTCTAGAGTTTTGGCCGCCTGCACCGGCTTCTGGCCCACTGTGGGCCGCGCGGGCGGCTCCAAGACGAACAAAGGGAGAAGGGGCTCGCGCAGGGCGGGGCTGCGCTGCGGCTCGGCCGGGGCTGGACGGCCCGGCAGGCCAGGTCTTTTGAAATATGTCTGCCCGCATTGCGGACCCGCCATTTGCTGGTGACCGCCCAACCGCGGCAGGGGCGGGAGGCGCCGCCGCCGCCACCCCTGGCCACCCTACCCGGCCTCCCCAGGGGCCCTCTCGGCCCACCCCACCCATGCCAGGGGGCCGGACCCTTGACCGTCGGCCCCCCCGGGCCGCCCCCGGGCCCGGCCACCTCCCGGGGCGGGGTGGGGCGGCGAAGCCCTTTCGGAGCCCGCCAAGGCACGCCTGGGCACGCCAAGGCCCTCGCCGACAACCCCGAACCCCGGCGCCGCCAGGCCACTGCTTGATGCAGGGGAAAAGCCCGGCAGTGTAAATCACGGGCCGCGCTCCGCCGCCGTCGCCGCCTCTGGCATCGCCACGGCCGGCGCTGCCGAGTTACCGCACAAAAACTCATCCAACCGACCAAATAAAATCACGAAAAAACTTTCCAAAGATTGCGCGATGACTGCGTCGCCGAGGGAGCGAGGGGTGGCATGCCACTGAGCGCTCCCGGCGGCGGCCAAGGCGGCCCCGACCGACCACAGTGACTCCAGGGGGAATTGCCCCGGTCCGGACGGCCCGGACGCAGACCGCAGCGAGGCTCGCGGTCACTTTCAGCGACGCTCGCCCTCGCCCGCCCCAGTCCAAATCCCCTTTCCACTTCCAATCCCAATAGCAATCCCAGCCGAAACAATAACTCTGGTGAGTGAGGACGACGCCGAGGCGAAGGCCACCGCAGCGCGCGGACGCCTGACCTGCCTGCCCCTGCCTGCCCACCCGGCGGCGCCCCTGCCACCACACTGCCACCACCACGCACCGCACTTGCACTACTTCACCCTCGGGTCGGCCTCGGAACACGCCTCCAACTAGGGTGCGGCGTCGCAGCCCATGTGTACGGACTCCCCGGGAGGGTCTAGCTAGAGACACCCAGCGGAGGGGCACCGCGCCACCGCGCCCCGCCTCGCCCAGGGGACCCGGCCGGGGCCCCCGGGGTCCCACGCTCCGTTGTGACAAGCCCTGGGAGCGGCGAGACCGGCGTTGGCAAAGCAGCGCGGTGGGCAAAGGCGGCCAAAGGCAGCGCTTCACAGTGGGCCAGAAGACCGGTGGAGGCGGCCAAAACTCTAGACGCGTTTTGAGCCCCAGAGTCGCTAAATGAGGCTCGAACCGAACGTGTGACCCCACCAATGGATTGCTCTCCGAACGAGGAATCCATTGGTGGGATCACAAGTTTGGTTCGAGTCCTGTTTAGCGACTCTGGAGCTCAAAACGCGTCTAGAGTTTTGGCCGCCTCCACCGGCTTCTGGCCCACTGTGCGCTTCCAAAGCAGCCTGCCGTCACGTCCGCGGCAGCGCTTCCACGACCAAAGACCGCGCAGCAGCCGAGAGAAAAGTCACAAAAAGGCAACAATTTTGAAAGTTTGCGATACATTTCGAATTTTTGGAAATTGAAGAGTTGTGGTAAACGAAGCAGGGACGGACAGCGCAGCGAGCGCCGCCTCGCCACCGAATCGTTTCACGCAATCTCCGCCCGGGGCCACCTGAGTGTGCACACTGTGCACGTGGCGGGGAGGGAGCGGCGTGCCTCGCTGTGCCCCATCGAGTCTCTCCCCGAGTCTCCCAAAGTCTCACTGACAGTGCCTCACACCACCGTCTTGGCTAGCCCGGCCTCGACCGACAGGTGGTGGCGCGGCGGGGAGGGGACGCGCGACCGCCTTCGTTCAAAGTCAAGACTGCCGTCGCACCCACACCCACGCAAGCCGGCGGCGCACAGTGGGCCAGAAGACGCTGGAGGCGGCTAAAACTCTAGACGCGTTTTGAGCTCCGGAGTCGCTAAGCAGGGCTCGAACTGAACGTGAGACCCCACCAATGGATTCCTCATTCGGAGAGCAATCCATTGGTGGGGTCACACGTTCGGTTCGAGTCCCATTTAGCGACTCTGGAGCTCAAAACGCGTCTAGAGTTTTGGCCGCCTCCAGCGGTCTTCTGGCCCACTGTGCGGCGGCGAGCGGCAGCAGCCCGGGCTGCAATGACGCGATACACGGTCTGCGCGGGAAAGATACTATAAATGCGCTTCGGAAAAAGAGAACCGACGCGGGAACACAGTGGGAACGTCCTTGGCGGCGGCCGCGCGGACTGGCGGTGGCGGCGCGGACCACATTTCAAAGCAGCCATACAGTGGTCCAGTTACTCGGCGAGAACCCCTGCGGGCCCTGCGCTGGCGGAGGCCATTGCCACCGCGCGATTGCACATGTGCAGCGCAATGCAGCGATGCAGCGCCGTGCGTTATGCAGGCGCATTCCGTCTTCGTCGCTCCGTCTCTCTCGAGTGCGATGCCCGCTGCCTGCGCTGCGCTGAAGCAGATCGAAAGGGAGCTCTCGAATCAACCCTCTCCGGGGACGGGCTGGCCGCCACTCGAGAGGCAATGATTCCGAGACGCGGCGGTGGAGAGGTGAGAGGACGCACAGTGGGCCAGAAGCCGGTGGAGGTGGCCAAAACTCTAGACGCATTTTGAGCTCCAGAGTCGCTAAATGGGACTAGAACCGAACGTGTGACCCCACCAATGGATTGCTCTCTGAACGAGGAATCCATTGGTGGGGTCACACGTTCGGTTCTAGTCCCATTTAGCGACTCTGGAGCTCAAAACGCGTCTAGAGTTTTGGCCGCCTCCATCGGTCTTCTGGCCCACTGTGCGGTGGAGAGGTGAGAGGACGACGGTGCCAACTCTTTCGCGCGGACGGCCGCAAAAAGGGGCGTCGCCTCGCGTCGCCGGCAACGCCATGAAGCGCATCGAGCAGGCCAAGCACAGCCAAGCATGGCCCACGGCGGGGTGGAAAGCACGGGCCGCGCCATGATCGGGGCGGGGGGGGGGGGAGGGTCCACAGGGAAAGCGAGAGCGACTCGGCCATCATCATCACCACCGGGACAGTTCCATAACACTGGCCGCGCCGCGAGTCCTGCAGTGTCCTGCGGCAAGCGGGGCAGGACAGGCCCTGATGTCCCCTGCGCCTGATCGCCGCACCGCCGCACCGCCGCGCGGGACGAGGAAATTTCAATTAGATCCACTTGCAGCTCCTGCAGGCCGTGCGCCTCGTCCCCGCGCTGCACCGCCGCCACCATGGCCGCCACGCCGCGGCGCTCGAATCCATATTCCAAGCTGTGCGGCGCGGCGAGGCCAGGCGAGGCGCGAGGCGTGCGGTGAACAGTGCCGACCGCGAGGGAAAGGACCGAAAGGACAAGCCGCGGCACTGCAGCCCGGACAACACGAATCACTTAGTTCGAGCCGCAGTCAGAGTGTCTCAGAGTCACAGTCACGGAAGGGTGCCAGGCGGCAGGCGAGCGACGCCGCCACTCTCCCTTTCATTATCCCGGCGAAAACAAAAACGGCCGGGGCGGTCGGGGCGCGAACCGCGAACCCACACCTTCCACTCATACTCACCCTCCGGCTGCGCATGAGGGAGGCCCTCCTGCGTCGGACGTCGCAGAGCACGCCCTCCTCCGACTTGTTGGAGAGGCCGCTGTCGCTGGCGTCCAGGTTGTCCCCCTCGGGGTTCAGCTCGCTGGGGCTGGCGGCGAACCGCTGCTTGGCGGCGGAGACCAGGCCGCTGGCCAGCACCGAGGCCTCGGACCCCGGCGAGCCGTCGAGGAACTCCTCGCTGCCGCTGCGGCTGTCCGAGGCCGCGGCGGCCGTGGCCGAGGGCGCGTAGCGGCCGTGGCGGCTCACCAGGGCCGACACCTTGGACTCGGACGCCGACTTGACGACGCCGAGGCCCCGGAACGCGCGCACCTTCCTCGGCCTCGGCTGCGCGCGGCCGTGGCCGTCCTCGTCGAAGCGGTCGCGGTCTTGGTCGGCGGCACTGTTGTTGTTGTTCCAAAGAGCGATCTTCTGCTTCACGTCCACCGTGGCCACGTCCTCCAGCACGTCGCGAGGCTTGGCGTCCACCGCGCGGGCCTCGCTCGACGCCGTGGTCCTGGCGGCAGGCGTCGGCACCTTGCACACCACGTCGTCGGCGTCGTCGGCGTCCTCGTCGTTATCACAGTCATCCTCGCGCTCCGCCGCGTCCTCCGTGTCCACCTCGTCTCTCGACAGCTCCGTGTCGCCGTCGCCGTCAATGTCATCGTCACAGTCAAGGTCGCCGTCCGACGATATCACGCCGGCCTCGGCGTCGACGGCGTCCTTCAGGTAGTGCCGCTGGTCAACAAAGTCCTCGACGAGGCCGGTGATGCAGCTGGACTGCAGCAGCTTGTCTCGCAGCGAGCGCAGCATCTTCTCGTCCTGCTCCTGCTCCTCGTCGTCCTTGGAGTCTTCCTGCACCTCGCCCTGCAGGTCCAGGTTGGCGTACACTGGTGCCTCGTACGCCTCGTACTCCCGCGGCGGCGCGATCGGGGCGTCCTCATCGACCTCCTCGCTGGGGAACTTGATCTGCTGGGCGAGCTTCTCGAGGGAGGGCGACAGGTGGAGCCTGCCCGAGGCCAGGCGCGGCGCGGCGCCCGCGTCGATGCTGATGGACGTGCTGGACCCCGTGACCGTGCACAGCACCTGCGCGTACGGCGACGAGTCCGCGCTGCGGTCCTCCTGCTCGCTGACGTGCTCGTCCCGCCAGTGGCGACTGCTGCTAGTGACTGATTCATTGCCTAGAGAGTGGAAGCTCTGCATGGACTCGTCAGTCTTATCTCCCTCCGAGGACAGCGAGTACTTACTCTGCCAAGCCACACAGTTGCTCTGGCCCAGGCCGCCCAGGCTGTCCGAGTTGTCTAGCTCGTCTGACGAGGACATGGGGTTGTTTCGGACATCTTTGTTAAAACCGGATGACTGCCAGAAGAGGGATGATGGCATATGCATCTCTTCGTCCTCAGCAATGACAAACCGCTCACCTTCCACTTTCAGGTTCACATAATCACTTTCGACAGGTTCACTTCGAGCAATGGCCATTTGTGTTAGTTCTGAAACTAATTCTTCAGCTGCCCAGGATTTACGTTTGTCTTGTAAAAGCTTCTTGGCTTCTTCCTCCTTCTCTTCCAAAAGTCCATCTGCTTGAAGTTTCTTTTCAATGGGGTCGATTTTTCCTTGATCACAAAATGTATCACTTTTCTCACCAGCACACTTATCACTTTCTTTTGAATCACTTACAGGAAATTCTTTAAACAGATTCTTTTCAGACATTTTGTCTCTTCCAGGAGGGAATGACTTGGATGCTTCTGTTGGGGCCACATTTTTTGCGCACTGTCTCTTACCAATCTTTTCTAGGGAAACCTCTTCCACATATGCGGCTGGAACGAAGAAGGCCTTTTTCTCATTTTTTCGAATGACCTGCCACCAGTCAGGATTAGTTTTCTTAAGAAGACTCAATGCCTCCCCCTCTTTCATCCAAACTTTCCGGCCATCTTTAGAATATTCAAAGTTGTAGAGCACACGAACAATGTGGTCTGAGCCTTCCATCTCACCAAAATGACAGGTCCATATCTGGATTGAGTCAGTGTGCCTGAGAACACAAACAAAATAAACATTACTAAGATACAGTTTTTAAAAAAAAATAAAAATAGAAACATGAAAAAAATACTTCACAGAAGTTGGACCTTAAAAATTAAATTAAGATGAAACCAAGTAAAACTGATATTTTCAGCAACAGGTGATTTGGTCTGCCTATGTCAATTTATTAACCTATGCATTTCTAAAAGCGACCAACTTCTTTGCGGGGGCTTGGAGACAATTTCAAAATAATTTTTGCCCCTACACCCCCAGAAAAAGCTGCACCACTTTATAAGGAACGGCTAGGTTAGATGCTTAAAGGACATTGTTGATGACTCTTGTCTCCTTGCTTCACTTCGCCCAACTGCCTGGCCATTAGTCTATCTAACCTTGAAACCAAAACTCCTCTCTTTTCAAAAAGAAACACTCAAAGAATGCCGTAGGGTGATTCCGCCTTACCTCTGATTGCAAGTTAATACATGTTACGCGAATCATGACAGCTGCGGTGAGCTGAAAGGTTTGTAAACTGAGGGAACCATTCACAACATTCGGTGAGCACAGCTGGCTCGAAACTACAAAAGTGGCGCATGCGGGACTTGGGACTCAGCGTTGACTTGACAACGCCGCTTTCTGCCCGGAGCGCCATCTAGAGAGGGAAGGCGGTACTTCCCCCACTCACAAGTCTGCACATTCCAGAAAACTTTTTCAGAAAAATGAATGAGGATCCAAAGGAGCTGTCAAATCAGTGATTTTCGTCGCTCAGAGTGCAGTCTAATTTCCGATATACGAGCACATATGAGCTCCGCGACTTAAAAATGACCAAGACTAAATTTTTCATATTTTCAACTTCCAACTTGCTGATAAAAGTTCTCCACAATTTCTGAATAAAAGCGCGTTGCTTGTGCCCTGCAACTCTCTTTATTGATCGTTTATGGAAAACTATTTCATTAAATGCTGTCAAATGCTGCCAAACAGCCAAAGACGGCAGCATAAAGGGCAATACAATTTCTCATACCTCGCAGCGCATGATGTTTTGATTAAAAACCCTTCCCACGAGCGTTGTCTGCACGTCTGCTGCCACTGTTGCTGTGTTTGTAACCGATAGAAAGATTATCTTTGATCCGTATCAGGGCCATGGGAAGTCGCGAGACCTAACTCGAAGTTGTCGCGATACCTCCGCTTTGTTTGAGTCGTTGAGAAGGCACCATGAGCGAATCAATCCATCGCACGGGCCTGCTCTTGCTCTTCGCTCCTGTCATTGCCTTTGCCTTGCAAGACCACCAAGACCCTCGCCACGGAAGGTCACTATAAATCGAGGCCTAGATTCCACTAGTTTCCATGTGTTCCTTCGACAGGCGACGTACTCTGAAGAACAACTATGCCTCACGTTACCAGAAAGTGGGAATTATTCCCCGGTAAAAATAAGTTTTGCTGTGACGGTCGCATCATGACGGCCCCTCACACCGGAGTGTTCTACGTTACCCTGGGCCTCATTGTAGGCACCAGCGGGCTGTTCTTTACTTTTGAGTGAGTATTAACTGTAGACCGAATAACTTCGTACTCGCATTCGCGGTTGTTCTGTTGTTGTCAGCACCATACGTCTGAAACACGCGTTTTGGTGACCTGCTATGACTCAGAAGAGAGGTTATGTTGTATCTTGTCTGACCTGTTAAGTGTCTGTCCATTCTACCCATTCTGCAAGATAGATTTGAATGACTCTCTACTCGTTATGATCATACCATTAAGCTGGTCGTTGAAAAATTTATGTGTGTTCTGCAGACACTATTTAATAGAATATATGTTCAAATTCATACTTTTACTTCCACTTCATCTGTTATTCTGTGATACTGTGCCGTTTATAATTTCCAAAATATTAATGAAGCTATGTCTTCTTCCTTCCAGCTGCCCATTTTTAGCAACACGCATTACACCTGCAATACCTGTTGTAGGAGCGATAATGTTCCTCTTTGTCATGTCTACATTGCTGAGGACAAGCTTCAGTGATCCTGGTGTTATACCTAGGGCAACTCCAGATGAAGCAGCGTACATAGAAAAACAAATTGGTAAAATAATGGCCCTAAAATTATGCATTTTGTTCCATCATGAAGTTTATTAATTGTATTTTTTATTTCAGTTCCAAGTAATCCTAACTCACCAACTCAAAGACCCCCACCAAGAACACAAGAAATTCGTGTCCGTGGTCATCCTGTTAAGCTTAAATATTGTTTCACTTGTAAAATATTTCGACCTCCAAGGGCGTCACATTGCAGTTTGTGTGACAACTGTGTTGGTGTGTATCAATCTTATCAATATGTTGTTGTCTTTCTGTTTTCTATACAGAGTACTAATATTTTTGTTCCCTCTTTTTACTGTTTTTAGAGAGATTTGATCATCATTGTCCGTGGGTTGGAAATTGTGTTGGCAAAAGAAATTACAGACATTTCTATTTATTTATTGTCTCTCTTGCATTTTTGTGTGTGTTTATTTTTGCTTGTGCAGTTACTCATATCATTCTGTGTAAGTTTGTGTTATTCTTGCCATGACATCCAGTAATGAAACACACATACTAACTTTTGGTTCTTTCCTCCTTTTTAGTGACTAGAGACGATCGTCAGTTTTTAGAAGCCGTAAAGGAGTCTCCTGCAAGTGTGATTGCGGGAGTTATTTGCTTCTTTAGTGTATGGACAATACTTGGACTTTCAGGTTTCCATACCTACTTGACTGCCTCAAATCAAACTACAAATGAGGATGTATGTATTTCTAGTCATCTACCCAGAAATTTACATTTCCTCCTAAAAGCTTATGTTTCAATTGTTTGCTTTTCCTTTCAGATAAAAGGACTCTTTACTAGTAGACCGGGTATGGAAGGTCTGAATCCTTATAGTGAAGGAAATGTGTGTTCTAACTGCTTTTTCGTTCTCTGTGCTCCCCTGACACCTAGTCTTATTGGTAAGCTCTTCTATTACACTGTCAACATTTACTACAGTCTTGTATTTAAAAGTTTTATATTATAATCTGCTCCTCTTTTGCTCTCAGACCGGAGAGGGATAGTAACCCCAGAGTATGCTGCAGAGCGAGCTGCTGAAAGGGCTCGAGAGCAGGAATCCAGGGACACTGTAATCGCAAACAACAAGTCATATGGAACAGTGATTTCTCAGCAGCCTTCTATGGTAAGTTGTACATCTTGCCTTTAAATTTTTAAAGGAATTATAACCTCCACATATGTTACTAATTTCCTGGTATTTTGTTTACAGAATGGAACGGCATTTACAAATGAAGTAAATCCTGCTCAAGTTTCAAACGCATCACAGCAAAGCCCAATGCAACAATTCCAGCAGCAACAGCAGCAGCAGTTCCAGCTGCAGCAAAATTTCCAGCAGGAGCAAGTTCCAACTACACCACCCCCTCCTCCACCCCCCCAGCAGTTGGCGATATCTCATTCACTGGGAAATCACCTGCAGCATGCAAGTGGAGGAAACCTTCATTTTTCTCACGCGCCGGGACTGCCTGCTGTTAATGGTTCGTATCACCAACATGAAATGCACTCCACACATGTCGTGCCCCCTTACAATTATGCCAGCCTTCCTCTACGCCGCCACAGTTGTCGCGGAGGCGTGGATTATGCGGGTCAGCAATTTTCTCCGTACAGGGAAACTGCAGTGTTGAATCCTAGTCGCTGTCGAGAACATACTTTCATGGCTGTTCCTTCATATCCCACTATGAATGTTGTTCATAATGGATTTCAGCATAGTTATGCGGTGCCTCCCCATACGGTATTAACTCGTAGCTTGATAGGCAACAATGGTGGGTTTGTTGTCCCAGTCTATGGTCAACCTGCTCCCCATCTCTTTGGTTATAATCATGTCAGTCCTGTTGGTAATGGTGGTTTCATGGGCATGGAGGGAGTGTTCCAATGGTGTGCCCCTCACTGGGATGGGCCTCCCAACTATGGTCGTACAGGCAAAAATGGCCTCGTCCCTGGCTTCATGGCCGCCAGTAGCAGCAACAGTGAAGACGAGGGTGACCACCTTCACATGTATGACCAGAACAATCTTCATCGTTATGAGCAGTAAGAAGCGTAAGAAGACATAGTGCAAGGATTATGTGTAATTAAGGTTTTGTGATTGCTTACTTATTGAAAACATGCAATTCATTGCACTGTTGTAATAACTTCTGAACCCCTGTGTTGGGCCCGCCTCAGAGTGTGGGCATTTATTCTAAATTCCATTCACTACTAGTCAAAAAAAATAACTATTTGTAATGCCTTCCTGAGTATTTTAACCCATTTTAGAATTTTTAAGTTAAAAATGGCTTAAGTTCTAAACTCTACTTTATTTTCAAAAAGAGACTAAAAGAACTTAACAAAAACGGGTATTGACTGACACTTTGATTGTGGGATTCATTGTGTTCATTAAAGCTTTTAACTAATTAAGGTTAATTGAGTCTGTTAAATTGACAGCTTTTACGAGCATCATGTCTAATCACCCTATTGAAAAAAAAATTCTGAATGATAGTGTCCTATGTGCTGGAGTTTGCTTCAGAGTAGTGTCATCAGCCCCATTTAAAATGTACTGACCTCCATACTTTATGTATAATCATCTCTTTCGTATCATTTTTGTGTTTTAGCATATCCTTCAATTTCCATTTTTTAGACTGGCCTAATATTTGTTAATTAATTGTAATACAAAGTATGTGTCTCTAATCTGCAACATTATTCCTTATCTCATCTCAACTGTCTCATTTCCTGATACCTCAGGTCAAACTACAGTCGTGCTCATTTAAGAGAGAAAACTAAAGAATACCGATCAGCTGTGATGTAATTTAGTTACTTTTGTAATGTTTGTTGTGTGTTGTACCTGTTTTTATTTGTTTCTGTTTGTTTCTGTTGTTTGTTGTAATGTGACTTAGATCTGTTTCTTTTTGTTTCTTCTCTTTTTTTTCTTTTTTTGAGAAGGTGTATGTTACTATTTATAACAACAAAGTTTAAAAAAGAGCTAGAGAGAAAAGAAATCTTTATGTGGTTGAATGGTTGTTTATTATGGTATCTGTAAAGTTGTTCAGTATTTCCAAGCCCCAATTAGTTGTTCCAGTAGTCACATAGTTGTGAAAGAGTGTAGTGAATGCACACTTATCTCAAATGCAATGAAGAACTCAACTGCAGTTTGAGGAAAGCCTCTATGACATGTGATTTGCATTGCCCTGTACAGAAATAATAATAATCATATAATCACATTGGTGAAAGTGAAGTCTTTGTTCGTAAGTTTCCCATTCGAAAAAAGAATGCTTACCCTTTACTGGTATTACATTCTTGTCATGATTAGTCACTGATGTGTTTGTTGCTTACATTTGGCTGTGGTTTCATTGTAGTAACTTGTACTACTGCTCACCCTTTGGATATTGGATTTTTCAATGTGGAATACTGTTGCTTTGCGGTGCAAGTTTCCAAAGTATTTACTTCAGAGGACAACCTTTCAAATTCTATTAACGAGGAGAATGTCTTTTGAGAACTGATAGTGGTTGTGAATGCTTGCTGCATTTCATTTTTAATAAGAAGCTGCTGGTGTTTGTGAAATATCTTGCTTAAATGACGCTTGTCCATTTTTTTCCCTTTGTCTTTCTCTTTACTTCCTTTAATTTTTGTAGAAAACATTACAAGCCGTGTGGAATTAAGATGAACTGGCAGCTTGTTATATTTTGACTATCAGATGATGTAATAGTTTATTGTCTGCTCTAACATGCGTCATCATACAAGCTTTTTGTGCTGTCCAAATTTAGTCTACTCTGTTATTTTATGTGACAATTGTATAATCTTTTTCATCCAACTCTTAACCTTTTTAGAGTCCCCTCTAGTGCTCCAGAGCACAGCTGTAACAACTTCTAATAATAAAATTTTATCATACTCTTAAAATAAAATGGTCTTTAAAATAATTTTCAATTCCGCTGTATGGTACTGTTCTTGTGTTCATGGAGCCTCACCGGTGAGTGGTACCCTACTTTCAATCAGTTTGCTTAGTTTGCTGCTTTAAACTTTTAATTTTGTGTCCTTTTTGCATCTTTCCTTTGGTTTGCATTGTATATTGACGTTTTCGGTTTTCATCTTGTCTATGAGATAAAATGTTGTATTGAAAAGTAAAAGTAGTTCTAAATTTATGTATTTTTCTTAATGGCCTTCTCTCCAGATGCAGCTCTTGGCGTTATCTTTACGATTTACATGCTAGCCTATGCATTTCCTTAGAACATTTAATGCTGAGCCTTTTATTTTGAATGTGTGGATTGAATACACAATAATCTACAGTATTGAGAGAGAGCGTGCCCCTAACTTCATTTTACCCAAGTCTGAAAGTAGTGCTATAGCTGTCCAGGAATTAATTTTGATTTTCAGCAGAAGATGTAGGACACTTTCAGTAGGGAACTTTGGTTTGTATTTACTGTAATATGAGGACGAGAATGGTTCCATACTTATGCAAGCAAGATCCGTTCATTTTTGAGTATTTCAATACTAATTCACTCAACATTTTTTTACCTATTGTCTATTGCTTCCTTGGCATTTGTTGAGCAAATTAACTTTTTCTCATGATTTTCATTTGTAGTGTTTACTTTGCTTCTTTTTCTGAAGCTTTACGCTTTCTAGCGTCTCTTAAACTCTCCCACATGGTGAATAACTTGATGACTTTCATCTTAGCTGCATTATGCTCTGAGATGAATACTTGATCTCAACATGACTGACTGTTACCATGCCCTTGTTCAAAGAGTGCATTTTCAATTCACAGCAACTTTGCTTTTCAGGTAGCTGAGAGAGCAGTCTTTTAAAGTCTTCTGAAATGCTCTTTTCAATTCTGTCCCTTTTAGCTTGAACTTCCTAGGTGCTCGTTTATTTTATTTTATTTTGGAGTCCTCTTCGAATTCTAAATGTACACATGCAGTTCTTACATTGTAGGTTAACTGTAGGTGTTTTTAAAATTTATTGTTGATGTTCTTTTTAAATTTTGTAGTGGATAGTAAGAATGATTCTAATGTGATTGCACCTAGTTTTAGCACCTGTTTTTAGTTTTTTCACTAACACCCTGTTGTGTGAGTTTTGTTTTCTTATTTTTTAAAATTTTCTTTTGTGTCCATAGAATAAGGAAACAATTCTTCTCTATGAGAGGACGAAAAATGTTTATTTGTTCACAAATTGTTCATGAAGGAAAAGTTTTGCATTCCTTTAACAAATTCTCCCCCTAAATGTTCAGGCGTCAGATTCGGCAGGAGGTATGCCTGGGGCTCCCGGGAAAGAGGATATCTCCAACACTTTGTTGTCAGGTACAGATATGAGAGTGGTGACCGTTTGCTTTCCTTGGCATGTATTGCTTCCTGTATTTGTTAAACTTAACTTTTGGAAGTTTCTGCCTATAATTTCAAGTTTGAAGATCAATACTCCTCTACTTCACATGAACTGTGCCAATTACTGCTACTGAAAATATGTGCCACGGTCAATTCACAATCATCTTGATTTTTGTGTCCATTCATTTAGTTAAACTAAATTTTTGTTTGGAAACCATTACTGTGAGCATTTGTTGTATTTGGAGGTAAATGTTGTTTCTGTGTGGCTTGATTGAAAAACTGCTTTTTGTACTTGCTGTGTTTGAAAATGAGTATTTACCTTGCTTAGTTCTCGAGTGTAACAGTTTGTTGGTCTTTTTGTACATTATTGTTTGTTGTACACATACCCTCATCCCAGTCTTTGCCTTAAATTTCACAGTGACTTCTGCCCTTCTTCTTAAGACCTTTCTCATTCTATCTCTCCCACTCTGGTACATCTACATACATGTGCGTACATGTTGATTTGTGAAAATTAACTTGGATACCGTTGAAATTTTGCATCACTGTGTTCTTTTCTTTAAGAAGGATATAACACACACATTTGAGCAAATTCTAATCATCGTTCCTTTAAAAGAAAAATATAATCTTTCTCACTATTTACTTTTATAATAAACTATTGCTTAGTGAGCTTTAATTTTTTAGTGCTGCCAGTAAAACTTGTAGATTTACAATGCTTTCTTTAAATTAGTTTCTACCTTTGTAGTGTGTTTTGAGGAGCCAAGGAGCTCACCATATTGCTGTTTCTGATATTAAAGCCACTTGTGACTTTCATAAATGAGTTTGGTTGAATTGTTTCATTATGAGCTATTAACCAGCCATTATTGCTTTGTTCCAGGGATGGAGCTTTCCCTCTTAGACCATCAAGAGTTAAACGACTCGTCAAGTAACTTGATGGTTGGCAATGAGAGGATTACCATTCTTGGAAGATCCATGGAAGGGTCAGAACCTGCAGTTATGGATGATCTAGACATTGATCTAGATGTGCCAGTTGTAGGAGGATTTGGTGGAAACCTGGCACCAACACTTAATGCTGGTGATTCAAGTGTCCCCCTGTCTGCCAGCAGACTGCAACTTCTCCAGGACACCACCATGATCGAGTCTGCACTCGACCTAGACTCTCTAGAAGATTCTTCTGTGGGAGGGGGTAGCACAGCAGGTCTCATTAAAATGAACGGGTTGTGATACTAAGTGAAAAGTAAGCTTTGAAAGACAAAATGTGTTTACTGTTTATAATGAAGGATTTTAAGATGATTTTTTGAGAGCTGTGCTCTTACCAAAAGGGATTTAGTTTTGTTTGTATGTGAGATGCTCTCACCAAAAGGGATTTAGTTTTTGTTTGCATGTGAGAGAGTCATTAATATTCCAATCTTGTTCTCTTTTTTTATAAAATTTAATATTTAAATTTTTGTGCTAAAATTAAAAAGTTTTTGTCCCATTTATTGGAGAATTGGAAACCAATTCAGATCAAATGTTAACTAATTCCATACATTCTGTTAACATAAGTTATTTTTGAATCAATTGTGTCAAATAAGCTTATATTGTTATAGTGCTTACTTATCTTGTTGTGGACTGAAAGCCAATGTATTTTATGTTAATGTAAATAAAGGCTTACATTAAGTCTTACTGCTTCAACTGTGAACACTAAGCTTTGTTCGTGTGATGTCTGTGCTCAAATTAAAAATGTCAGTGAATAACATCTGACAAATGAATGTTTATTTTATGCTCGCTTATTTCTCTCTCTTGTTTTTCCTGTGTTATCAATTCATTTGACAGTTATTGTAAGGTGTTGATTCTTAGTCAGAACATAATCAACACCATTGTTTGTTTGTCTTGTGTCATTTTTATACTGTTTGTCATGAGCTTTGAGTGGATGCGCTCTGTATGTGATCAAAATCCAGAATAAATCAGATGAAAAAAAAATCAGAAGAATGTCTGTGTGACATCACATCTCCAAACAGTATTAATTTCAATTTTTTTGTCTGTTCGTGAAATGTTGACAATATTGTTTTGTTCTGAGTAAAAGAGGTGCAAAGTGCCATTTCCTTCTCTTTTCCACTAATTCTTAATTTTTTTCCTGTCTTCTCTTTTTGTGTGGAAAGAATGGTGTTTCATTTACTGTATCATATTTTCAATTGAGAGATGATCATCTACTGTGCCATTCTTGCCCCTTGTGATTACTTCATGTATCTTTATTTTGTAGTCTTATTATTTCAGACATACATCAAAATCCATGGAAGCTTCTCTTAAAATAGTTAATTTACAGCTAAGTCTCATGGAGCAGTGGGAAAAGAGCAGTAAAAGACCTATGAGTGATACGAATGTCTTCTTTATTATTCCCTTCACATTACTCACCCATCTCCAATACACAAATCAGGTAGCCTGTAAGATGTTGTGGTTAGTTCTTTTTGGGAAACTGTCTTCAATCAAATTGATCAACAAATTGTCTAAATAGACACTCTCTTTACGATAGTAAGGAGCGGGGCAATTATACAAAGTGTTAAGCTTTGCAATGTCAAGTTGACTAAATCTTCTTCTTTGACCTGAAGAAGCAAAAGAGAAAAATATCTTGAAAGCGGGAGGTAACTGCCGGTAGCAGCGTACAAATTGACTCATTTTATTTATACTGACCCATAAGCGGCAAGCCTTGAACCACCTTAGGCACGATGGTGGGAAGTCCGTTCCTGGAGAACGCCACGGAGCGGTAGTGCATGACGGAGCCGTAATCGTAGGGAAGTCCCAGGGTCCGCACGGTGCCCGGGGGGCGGCGCAGGAAGTTGGGCTTACGTCCTGGAGAGGAGAGCAAAGGGAAGGCGGTGCAGGGGGAGCCATCAGCCGAAATCACGCCTGAGGGCAGTTTTAGGGTAGACTCTTCTCACCGGGAGCGATGTTCCCCCAGAGGACGGTGACGTGCTCGTCCCTGTCGGGGCGGGTGTGCTCGTGCCACATGCCCAGCGTGTGCAGCATCTCGTGCTGGATGGTGCCCTTGCGCAGGCAGCCCGAGCCGCCCAGGAAGGTGGGGATGGGGCCGACGCCCTCCTGGAAGCCCACGATGGAGGCGCAGCTGCAACCAAGGGCCAAGGGCTTGCCTTGAGCGCCTCCCGATCATCGCGACGCACAGTGGGCCAGAAGGCCGGTGGAGGCGGCCAAAACTCTAGACGCGTTTTGAGCTCCAGAGTTGTTAAACAGGCCTCGAACCGAACGTGTGACCCCACCAATGGATTGCTCTCCGAACGAGGAATCCATTGATGGGGTCACACGTTTGGTTCGGGTCCTGTTTAGCGACTCTGGAGCTCAAAACACGTCTAGAGTTTTGGCCGCCTCCGCCGGTCGTCTGGCCCACTGTGCGACGCCCTGTCTGTCTGTCCCTCTCTCTCGCTCTCTCGCTCTCACCTGTGGCCGGTGTGCTTGAGCAGTAGGTAGTCGGTCTGGTTGGTGCGGCGCACGAAGCGCACGCACGACTCGCGCTCGATGTCCTGCAGCGCGTCCTGCAGCAGGCGCAGGTCCTGCGGGGACCACTCGCCCGGCGCCAGGTCCAGCACCACCTCGCGGTGCGGCCACAGGCTGTGGGGGTCCGCGTCGGCGTTGCGGAGGCCGGGGGGCTGTGCGTCCGCGGCCAAGAAGGTCAGAAAGCGATCGAGTTGCAGCTCCGCGAAACGAAAACAACGTGCAGCACACAGAGCGAGGAAGGAGGTTCCTGTCACTGCGCTGACTGGGGCAGTCGGAGACGGAGAGAGAGGCCACCACCGCCACCACGCACCAGGCTGAGGATGTCGCCCTCCTGCAGCATGCCCTGCTGCTCCGCGCTGCCGTCCGCCAGGGCGCGCTCCACGGTCCGCCAGTACTGCGTCATGGCCGTCATGGCGGCGGCCCGCTCGTCGTCGCCGTCATCCACGTCGTCGACGGCGTCCTCGTTCGTCGGCGGGGCCCTGCTCGCAGCGGGGGGTGCGGCCCGACTGCCGGCCAGGGCCACGGCCAAGGCCACGACCACCAGCACCACTCGCGGCCGCATCGTCGGGGGTCCGTCGCAGTCCGCGGCCGACGGGGAAGTCCACGCCTTTTGTACTTTGTACCGATGTTCCGCGCCAATCTCCTCGCGAGGGGTATTGCCGGGGTGCTAATGGCCTGGCTCACAGTGGGCCAGAAGCCGGTGGAGGCGGCCAAAACTCTAGACGCGTTTTGAGCTCCAGAGTCGCTAAATGGGACTCGAACCGAACGTGTGACCCCACCAATGGATTGCTCTCCGAACGAGGAATTCATTGGTGGGGTCACACGTTCGGTTCGAGTCCCATTTAGCGACTCTGGAGCTCAAAACGCGTCTAGAATTTTGGCCGCCTCCACCGGCTTCTGGCCCACTGTGTGGCTGTGTCTGGCCAGTCCGGCCCCTTCCCCGAGCCGTTTTCACCCACACGTGCTTGTCGGCGGCACTATCGCACCCCTCTCCTCTCGCCTCACTCGCCTGACCTCCTTGCCACCCTTTCGATTGGGGAGCGCCACTAAATCGCGAAACGTGACGGTGATGATGAAACCACGTCTGCAAGTAACTTACGAAACGCAAGTAAGTTAGGCGGGCAAAAATTAACTAAAGCGACACTTTACAGAAAAAGACAACGTAATTTATTCATCATTCCTTAAAGTCCGCAGGGTAATACAGGGGTAGTATACAATTGTACAAAAGATAGATTTCTATGCGGGAGGGAGGGGGAGGGGTGGGAGGGGGTGGCCTCTACATGTGCCGGGTGTTGCCGAACCCGCCGTGGCCGGACTGCGACGCGCCCTTGTTGAAGCCCATCTGCAGGTTGAGTTCGCCCTCGTGCGCGCGCAGCTGCGCGTCGGTGAACTCGCGCTTGTTCTCGTCCGCCATCTTGGGGCCCAGCCGCGGCCCGGTGTACTCGGGGTGCTTCTGGGTCTGCAAAGGGGAGAGCGATCGTCAGGGCAGGTGGTAAGGCGCACAGTGGGCCAGAAGTCGGTGGAGGCAGCCAAAACTCCAGACGCGTTTTGAGCTCCAGAGTCGCTAAATGGGACTCGAACCGAACGTGTGACCCCACCAATGGATTGCTCTCCGAACGAGGAATCCATTGGTGGGGTCACACGTTCGGTTCGAGTCCCATTTAGCGACTCTGGAGTTCAAAACGTGTCTAGAGTTTTGGCCGCCTCCACCGGCTTCTGGCCCACTGTGAGGCGGCATGGTGCGGATTATCGGCCAGCGGATATGGGGCCGCCAATGAGTTGCGCAAACTTGCTGGATTATTTTCTACTTACGATTCTGGCCAGAGAGTACAGGCACAGTGTGACCTGGGGGATGTTCCTTCTCTCGAAAAGGTCGGCGGTCTGGAAGATCTCCTCGTCGGGGACGCCGTACTTGCGGATGGCGGCCTGGAACCTGGACACGGAAGACATGTTCACCGAGGGTTGTTCGCGCAGTGTGCGGCAAGAGAGGCCGACGCCACACAGTGGGCCAGAAGACCGTGGAGGCGGCCAAAACTCTAGACGCGTTTTGAGCTCCAGAGTCGCTGAATAGGACTCGAACCGAACGTGTGACCCCATCAATGGATTCCTCGTTCGGAGAGCAATCCATTGGTGGGGTCACACGTTCGGTTCGAGTCCCATTTACCGTCTCTGGAGCTCTAAACGCGTCTTGAGTTTTGGCCGCCTCCACGGTCGTCTGGCCCACTGTACGCCAGAGGCTTTCCGTACCGCTGGACGTTCTCCATGAGCTGGAAGTTGGTTCCCTTGGTCTGGATCTTGTTGACGGAGCCGGGGGCGATCTTGTTGATGAGGTTGCAGAGGACGACGCCGTCCTTGAGGACGTCCTCGTAGGGTGCGGCGGGCAGTTTCTCCCCCGTCACCGCCTCGATCCAGTCCAGGACCTCCTTCTCCTGGTCCTTGTTGCGGGCCTGCAACGAGAAGGCTGAGGTGAGCGTGGGCTTTTGGCTTTTGGCGGCGCGGCAAGGGCTTGAAGCCAAACGGACGGACGGACGGACGGACGGACGGGCGGGCACGGCGGCAAGCCCCACAAGCTGGCCAGCACTAGGGTAAATCCACTCTGGATTTTTAGAGTTTTGTCAGAGTTGCAGAGTTTTGCTCAGAGTTTCAGAGTTCAGGTCAGAGTTTCAGAGTTCAAGTCAAGTTGCAGAGTTACGCTCAGAGTTTCAGAGTTCAGCGTCAGGTTGCAGGAGTTTACGCTCAGAGTTTTAGAGTTCAGCGTCAGAGTTGCAGAGTTTTGGAGTCCTTGATTTTAGAGTTAAGTGTTCAATCCAGATTTCCAGAGTCGGTTCACAGTTTCAGAGTTGAGCCATCGTCTGAGTTTCAGAGTTAGATTTTTCCAAATTGACGAAGCCATAACTCGGGAAGTTTTTGTTATTTTTGATTGCAATTGGTAGGTGTCATCTATGGACTTTTACTAGGCAGTTTTAATTTCAATCTGATCGGATAGTTTTGGCCCCGGGTATGCTGAGGTACATTTGATGGTAGCGAAAAATGGATTGCAGATTCGGCTCGGACTCGATTTTTAGCCCCTAGGGACACTTCCAAGGCAGTTCTAGACCAAGCACTGTTCAAGATATTCTATCCTTATTAAGACTCTGAAACTTAATGCTGGCACCCTGACAACAGACTCTGGATAACCCTGACATCAGAAACTCTGGTAACACCTGACTCTGAACTCTAGATTACACTCTGGCCTTTAATTTGGGGTGCGCGAATTTCGTGAGTCTCTGGTTCAGAGTCTCTTGTAACTCTGGAATAAGTCAGAGTCTCAGAAACTCTGAAAATTTCAGAGTGGATTTACCCTAGTGAGCCTGACGGCCGATGGAAGGCGTGGCGAACTCACGGTGGAGGAAAGCGATCAGTGCCAAGAAAACTCACGCCGCCATTAAGTCTACGCCCTGACCGACCCACAGAAAATACCCCTGACGACACGCCCCTTCGGAAAATAAAACATTTTCAACCGGCATCGTGCAGGTTGGCCCAAGGACGCGGGATTGCAACGCCGGCGGGGGCGGGCGTCCCTTGGGCGTCCCGCCCGACTGCATCCCTTGCGGACCCTGCACACTGCGGGGCCGCGGGCCAACCGCGTTGCCGAAGCGTGGAAGGGGACGGCCAACTGTGAACCATCTGCGGCTCAAGACTTTGGTCACGATCGAGCCATCGGAAAGCGGAGCACAGTGGGCCAGAAGACCAGTGGAAGCGGCCAAAACTCTAGACGCGTTTTGAGCTCCAGAGTCGCTAAATGGGACTCGAACCGAGCGTGTGATCCCACCAATGGATTCCTCGTTCGGAGAGCAATCCATTGATGGGGTCACACGTTCGATTCGAGCCCTATTTAGCGACTGTGGAGATCAAAACGCGTCGAGAGTTTTGGCCGCCTCCGCCGGTCTTCTGGCCCACTGTGCGAGGGGAATCTCGACAGGAGTCCAAGCCAAACGGAACGCGTGCTAGGTTGCTGGGGACACACCGGGACACACAGAATCGGCCGGGTTTTATAACAAGGGGGTGTCTTACGGGGCGACAGTTGAGCCATCCCGGGGTGTTGGCGTCGAACACCTGCAACAGAGAGCCCGCTTCACCAAGCTGCGTGCCGTGCGCCACAGCAGAGCAACAAGGTTCTCAACATTCAGAAAAGCTACTTTTGAACAGCCCAAAACTTCAACATCCTCAAAATGACAATTTTCGACAATGTTGAAAACCTAATTGGCTATGGCACCACGCCCTGCAGCGGAGCACGGCGCGACGCGGCTCACGTCTTTTCGAAGCAGCGAAGCATGGTCATGCGCACGGTAGCCTGCGTCGCCTACGTCACGTTGGCCAGGGCAGGGAGGCGGGCGAGCGAGGGCGGGGCAGTTAGGACTCTAGGCAGAGCATGCGCTATTCCTGGGGCCCGTTTACGCGTTTACGCCAGTAGACCTAAACTGTGCCTCGGCCGCAGCGCCGCAGGGACACGATCCACCATTGATCCGCCCTATCGGCGCCTCCCCTGCGAGACAGAGGCGGCCGCCACACAGTGGGCCAGAAGACCGGTGGAGGCGGACGAAACTCTGGACGCGTTTTGAGCTCCAGAGTCGCTAAACAGGCCTCGAACCGAGCGTGTGACCCGACCAATGGGTTCCTCGTTCGGAGAGCAATCCATTGATGGGGTCACACGTTCGGTTCGAGCCCTGTTTAGCGACTCTGGAGCTCGAAACGCGCCCAGAGTTTTGTCCGCCTCCTCCGGCTTCTGGCCTACTGAGCGCCGTGATCTCATCGCAATCGCCTCGCCGCACCGCGGCCTCTTGGCTGCAGAGACCCTTCCGCCTACGAGCATCCGGGGAGGCGAAGCGGTCCACGGTCCACCAGGGCGTACTGGCCGACTTCATTGAAGCCGCTTGCTGCCAGGGTAACGTTTCTCTTTTTTCCGCGAACTGCCCCTCCCGATGCCCGCAGCGCCCGAGCTGCCCGAACGCACCCACGCCCCACGCACCGGCGGGCGGCGTCTGGCAGCGCGCCACGCCGCGGCCACGCAGGTTCTTACTCCCCAGCTGTCATAGACATAGCAACACCGTCGCGGGGTGCCGAGCACGAAACAATTCTCAATTTGTTTACAACTTTTTAACAGTGTGGGCGGGACGCGAGACGAAACCGGGTGCAGAGCCATGAGTTTAGCGCCGTCGGTTGTGTTGTGTTTATCCCCTGCAGCCGCGCCGTGCCGCCGGCTGGGGGCGGCAGTCGAGGGAGAGAGACAGACGGGCGGGGAGCCTGTTGCGTGGGTGGGGCGAACAGTGGGCCAGAAGACCGGTGGAGACGGCCAAAACTCTCCACGCGTTTTGAGCTCCAGAGTCGCTAAATGCGACTCGAACCAAACGTGTGACCCCACCAATGGACTCCTCGTTCGGAGAGCAATCCATTGGTGGGCTCACACGTTCGGTTCGAGTCCAGTTTAGCGACTCTGGAGCTCAAAAAGCGTCTAGAGTTTTGGCCGCCTCCACTGGTCTTCTGGCCCACTGTGGGGGGGCGGGGCGAGGACGTGCGGACGCGCAGACACGCCACCGCGGTTGCTTGGCGCGGCTTGGCCCACCAAAGTGCTACTGCATCGGCGGCGGCGGCGCGGCGAGCAGCACCCTAACCTACTGCGGGGCGGGGGAGCGCCTCGGGGAGCCTCGCTTAGCCTCGCCTCCACGACTTCATCGACGAAAATACTCGACTGCGGCAGCGGCGTTGCGGCAGCGGTAGCGGCGAGCGCGGCCCCCGCCACCCTCTGGAAGGGCCCCTCTGCCCCACCCCCGCTCCTGCCCCCGCTCCTGCCCCCGGCCCCGCCCCCGGCGCCCCCGAACCCCTCCCAAGCCGCACTCTGGCACGTGCTCAGTTCACTGGAGAGCCAGAAAGGAAACAAGAAAAAAAATCTCCTGTGACATTGCTCCACTGTCAACTCGGATTTTCAGGGGCCGCGAACCCCGGAAGCTCTCTAAAAATCAGTTGGCGGGATTCGAACCCCTGCTCCCTGCTCGGTCGGGTTGTTTTGACAGGCCGTTTTGGCGCGCTGGCGGCGCCGGCTTGGGAGCCCTGCCAAGGGTCGAACAGAACCGCCACGTCACAGGTGTACCGCCGGGTACCGCCAGGTTGCCAAAACAATGAGTTCCGACTTATTTCTAATGCGGTTCTAAGGCAATGACACTGGGCTAGCTCGTGACAATAGGTTGCATCACTCAGTGGGACACGCCGGCAGGCAGGCATGCCCTTCCAGGGTGCAGACGGCACTGCCTGCCCACCAGGCGCAGTGGCTGCGAGGTGGTGACGGATGCACGATGCACCTGGCCGTCAACGAGAGCGCGCGCAACATCTGACGCGAGCCGCAGTCCGCACAGTGGGCCAGAAGAGCGGTGGAGGCGGCCAAAACTCTAGACGCGTTTTGAGCTGCAAAGCCGCTAAACAGGGCTTGAACCGATCGTGTGACCCCATCAATGGATTCTCATTCGGAGAGCAATCCATTGGTGGGGTCACACGTTCGGTTCGAGTCCCATTTAGCGACTCTGGAGCTCAAAACGCGTCTAGAGTTTTGGCCGCCTCCACCGGCCTTCTGGCCCACTGTGGTCCGCCCCAGTCCGCCGCGGCGGGTCATGCCGGTCACGCGGCCTTGAAAACCGCAGCGAGAGGCTCGCGCGGCCCGAGCGTCTGCACCCGATGCGTGTTTACGCGGTGCCGTCAAAAATAGCGATTTTAGCACTCCAAGGGACGGACCGACGGACCGGCCGACGGACCGCAGCCAGATGGCGTTGCTTCGCGCTTCGCGTTGCTTGCGGTCAAGGCCCGGCCGCGGGCGTGTTCTCGAGAGCCTCGCCAAGGGCAGCACGGCGGCAGCAGGGCGGCAGCACACTGGGGGAATTCCCTGGCTTCCCTGGTCACTGTGCGCGCCCGCACACTGGTGGATTTCAAGGGCGCGCATCCAAGTGACCGTCAGCAAAATGCTAGCGAAAGTGATGTGAAAATGGCCGTTGGCGTCACTGCCACTGAGGCAGAGATGGGGTGGGGATTTAAACCGTGAACCGTCCCGCTTGGCTCGCACTGGGGCCACTGCTTTGTGCCTTACGGTTCTTTTTTCGGGGCAATACGAGAGTTAGGAGGATTTAAAAATACTTTTGTATTCGCTCGAGGCGTTATAGGCAATAACTCTGGGCCTAGGGCGGTACGGAGGATCCCTTGCTCCGCCGCTCCCCCGCTCCGCCGCCCCGCCCTGCTCGTCGTGTACTCTTGATGACACGGACTTCCCGCCGGTCTTTGCCTTGAAGCGCATCCACCCACGTCTTTCCCCAGGAATAGCTGTCCTGACACGGCCGACGCCAGAAAAGTCACCCCCTCCCCTTTCTTCGCTCGTACTGTTAAGCGGCGTGACGAACGACAAGACAATATCGAAAGCAACGAAGCCCAGCTGCGTGAAATACGATCACCTAAACATATTATTCAATTTCAAATTTTGTGCGTCAAAAAAAAATAATTTTAAAAAGTGACGAAAAAGTTATTTTTGCAGTGTACTAAGTGATTGACAATACATTATCATGACGAACTTGTTTTAAGCCAAACGTCGTGACAACAACTAGGACAAAAAAGAACAGACAACAAAACATCCTAGCTTTGGCCTATAAATTTCTTCCTCGTTTGTTATAACTTTCTTCCCGCCTCGACGTGGATGCGTAATATCTCTCGACGACGCGGCCCCGTCCTCCGCTGGCTCCGTCCCGCTCTCCGTCACGAGGCATTTGCTCTATATTATTTTCATCCGCGCTTTACAAATCAGTCCCCGCCTCCCCTCCTCGCCTTGCCGCCGCACCCCTAGCCCAGCCAGATTGACTTTTGGCCGATATCCAGTCCACTTTTATCGCCCTGCGGCGAAGGGATCATCTGTTTTGTCCACTAGGATCCAGAGTCATTTTTTATTTTTTTAGTAAAGAAATAAATCTTAGCGGTATTTGGCCTTACTGAAAATTTTGTAGAAATTCGTCACAGTTTGAGAGCTAGGGAAGTATGAAAAGATGGGGCGAACACGCTAGCGACTCTAGGACTCTAGGTGGGAGAGGAACCCTTCAGTTGCGCGTTACGAAAACAGCTGGCCCTTCAGCCCCTCCCTGCAGCCCTTCACCAGACATCCGGATCCATTAATTCATCCCAGGCATCAGTGCCCATTCATCAATTACAGCCCAGAGGTGCCAAAACCGTCGCGCGACGCGTCTAGAGGACGTCCCCAGACCGGTGCCATCGCTCCCTTCTTTCGTTCGAAGAGAGAGAAAGAGAGAGGGGGAGGGGGGGAGTGTTGGTAATTTTTTTCCGCGTTCTAGGTGTTGCTTAAGCGTTAGAGCCGCATTGTACTGGGCAGACAATCGACTACAACGGAATCAAAATCTCTATGACACAACGTCATTCACGCATTCAATAATTGTACTTTATTTCAGTCAGTGGCGGACCTCCCCCAATATTCCCCCACTGATTGTAGCCGAACGCGAGCACTATCGACTGTCAGTAAATAATTTGATTTGACAATAACATCCATGCGCAAAACAAGAGTCGGACATGGGACATGGGAAACAGAATTGGTGTCTGTCGGAGTGTCAGTGCCCAGTGCAGTGGTGAGGCGGTGGAGAACGCGGTCGCGTCGCGCTGCGCGCAGGCCCCTTACCGGCATGGTGCTGTCTGTGGTGTTGGTGCTGGGCTGGGTGCGGAGAGGGCCTGGGCCTGGCTTCCTCACTGGGCGTCTCTGGCAGGAATACTGACTGCTGCCGCCGGGGGACGCAACATCCACACGGCGACGACGCCCCCTGCCGCCACGCCCCCTCCCCCTCCCCTCCCCATCCCCTCACCCCCACGACCCCCACCCCACGCGGCCTACGCTCGTCCGCTAAACCGTGTCCGCGGTTCGGGCGGCAAGGATGGCACTGACGCTCGTCTCAAGGAAAATAAAATTCACCCCCAAAGCAAACTAACAAAACACCCTTTCTGAACCACTGTGTTATGTGTGCGAAGCTGCTCTTGTGACTTTTCCGGGCTTCCCCCCCCCCCCAAAAAAAAAAAGAAGCACTGTGATGAGGCAAGGGGATACCAGTGTCAAGACAAGTGGTGACAAAATGTCAGATTTATCCCAACAAAGGTCAACAAGTAACTTTATCACATAAGAAGAATACTGAAATCTTTACAACAACGAAAATTAACATAAAAGGGAATGGAAAAACAGGTCATGGTAACTATAAAAACCTCGCTCCCCTCCCTCACCAAAACATTTCACAAAGTAAGAGACAGAAAAACAAGAGCGGCGACCTGGCCAGCGGGCCTGGGCGGCCTAGGCGCGAGGCGTCAGCGAGATTCGGATGCCGCCGACGTTGGTGAGGACGAGCTCGGCCACCAGGCGGAGGGCGTTTTGGGGGTCCGCGCTGGCGACGTGGAACCTGTCCAGGACGGTGCCGAGCAGCACCTTCAGCTCCAGCATCGCGAACCGTTGCCCTGCGGAGGAGAGAAACGGCCTGCGTCAAAGAGAGACAGAGAGAGACAGCGTCGGCGCAAGGCAAGCCAGGCAAGCCGGGCTAGCGCCGGCGGGTAGGCAGCCTTTCCGACACCGAAGCGCGGGAAGATGCCTGATTCCGAACAGTTCCTCCGTCGCTCTGTCTCTCTCGCCGCCATGGGGCGCGCCGTAGGGGTGCGACAGAGACACGGCGACAGAGCACTCTTCGGGACCAGCCTACCGGCCGACGGGGCGGGGCGGGGCGGGGCGGGGCGGGGCGGGGTGGAGCGGGGCGGGGGCGGGGCAGGGCGGGGCGGGGTGGAGCGGGGCGGGGGCGGGGCGGGGCGGGGCGGGGCGCGGCGGGGCGCGGCGGGGCTCACCGATGCAGTTCCTGGAGCCGGCGCTGAAGGGCACGTAGGCGAAGGGGTGGCGCGGGCCGTCGCCGTCGCCGCGGAAGCGCTCGGGGTCGAAGCGCTCGGGGTCCGGGAAGAAGCGCGGGTCGCGGTGCAGCAGGAAGGCGTTGACGAGCACGGTGCAGCCGGCGGGGATGTCCTCGCCCAGGATGCTGACGGGGTGGCGGATGTCGCGCGCGATCAGCGGCACCACGGGGTACAGGCGCAGCACCTCCTTGATGCAGCACTCCATGTAGTCGAGGCGCACCAGGTCGCGCACGGACAGCTCGCCGCCGGCCTGCAGCAAGGCCTCGCGCCACTCCCGCACGATGCGATCCTGCACGGGAAAAGCATGTCACAGCGCCGTTCGACTGATATCGCCTGTCCCTCACGCACACGGAAAGCTCCATGAGTGCGAGAGGGACAGGCGGAGTCTGCTGGTAGCAGCTCCTCGACCGTCCTCACCTGCACGTCGGCGTGCTGGCCCAGGACGTACAGGCACCAACTGAAGCCCGCCGCCGTGGTGTCGTGTCCCTGCAGGGCGTGCCGCCACAGAGAGAGCAATCAGCCGAACCATACCGCCACTTTCCGGCGAAAAACAGAGAAATCACTCACGGCGAACGTGAAGGTGTCCACCTCCTCCTTGATGTCGGCGTCGGTCAGGTCCGCGCCCTTCGTCTTGAGGTCCAGCAGCAGGTCCAGCATGGCCAGCCTCCGCCCGCTCCGCCCTGCGACGAAGAACAATCGGAGCGCCGCGTCAGCGGATATTTTACGAGTCGACTCGGGGGCCGTCCCGTAACCGTAAACAAAATCCCGCGCGTTTCAGGGAAACTGCGCGGCTGGACGCAGCGTTGTGGTATTCTGCGGGGAGCGGCGAATCTAGGAATCCAAGGCAGACGAGGCCGCAGCGCCCAAGTCTCAGACCATACCGAGGGGGCACAGTGGGCCAGAAGACCAGTGGATGCGGCCAAAACTCTAGACGCGTTTTGAGCTCCAGAGTCGCTAAATAGGACTCGAACCGAACGCGTGACCCCATCAATGGCTTGCTCTCCGAACGAGGAATCCATTGGTGAGGTCACACGTTCGATTCGAGTCCAGCTTAGCGACTCTGGAGTTCAAAACGCGTCTAGAGTTTTGGCCGCCTCCACCGGTCTTCTGGCCCACTGTGGGGGGGAACAGCTTCTCACATTCATTGTACAAAATCTGACCACATTCCACATTCAGGTGACAAAAACGCCTGTAAGTGTGCAGCATGTGTGGCAAAAACGCCAGGAGTCTTGCACATTCTCGCACATTCGCACAATCATTGTACACAAAATTTTACGGTGGGTCACCCCTTGGGCCATACCACCCACTTCTGCTTCGTCCTTAGCCTCAGACTTACGTTCTGGTTTGGGCGCCACTGGCACTGGCACGGGCATGCACCCCGGCGTGGCTGGCTGGCCTGGTTGGTCGCCCTGCAGCTCCGGGAGCGTCTGCTGCAGCGTCCCCTTGGCAAACTGCTTGGCACACTGCCTCTCCAGCTCCTGCTTCCGCGCCTCGTAGACCTGCGCCACAAAACCCTCATGAGTTAACTGATACCGCACTGTGAGGCTGAGCTTGGGCTTTGTGGAAAGGTTAGGAGATGCCATTCAATTTATGGAAAGTCATACATCTGACAGTGGCATGCGCATAAATTTTGAAAGAGGGGGAGTCAGGCCATGCTTTTGGCCTACTTACAGGGGAAAGGGGCACAATTTGCCTATCTTCCAGGCGGCTGTCTAGTGGCCGAAAGGGGCGGGGGATCATGCCCCCCCCCACACAAGCGCACGCCACTGACATCTGAAACGTATAACATCGGCTCGGCATTCCTTTCTAGAAACGAATGAGGCCTATACTCAAATGTATAGGATTCGTCGCTCCCGCGGGAGACCTTTTCGTCGCGCTGTCTCTGTCGCACTCATGGGGCATTCTGTATAGGTGCGAAGGAGACAGAGCGATGAAAACGACTCTCAGAATCAGTCCGCAGGAAAAGAACCGCTTTTCCCACCCACAACCAGTGGACTGTTCGGCGAAAACTGTGGGCCATTTTGACGACGTAGGCGACGCCCCCGTAGTCTGGCCCCGCCTCCAGTTGGCTCCGGAGCGAAAAGAGTATTCCCCCTGGGTAGCCAATGGGCGTGCTCTTTCGATACGCGCGTGATGACGCACATCGCCGCTCCGCCTACCGGGGTGAGGTGCAGACTCGCACCATCGCCTCGGCCCGAAATGCGATCCCCAGCACATTTCACATCCGCCATTTTGCCAGACGACCGCACCGCGAGGCTCCCAGTGTTCTCGCTGCAGGCGCGTTTTTTTTTTTTTTTTTTTTTTTGGGGGGGGGGGGAGAAATCGCCCCCTGTTAAATTCCGTAAACGCCTGATAGTAGGCAACCCGCATCACATACCCCTGTAGGTAGGCAAAATATACACAATTTCTCTCGCTCTCGCTCTCTCTCTCTCTCTCTCTCTCTCTCTCTCTCTCTCTCTCTATCTCTCTCTCTCTCTCGCTCTCTCTCTCTTCTTTCTCTCTCTCTCTTTCTCTCTCTCTCTTTCTCTCTCTCTCTCTCTCTCTCTCTCTCTCTCTCTCTCTCTCTCTCTCTCTCTCTCTCTCCCGGGTCTCTCTGTGCCCCTCTACACGTCGAGGAAATAGGTTAGGTTAGGTCACGTGGCTCACCCTGCTGGTGAAGCCGTGGATGACCTGCACGCACTTGGCCTGCAGCCGGCCCAGCTCGGTGAGGCGGAACAGCGCCTCCGGCTTGAGCCACGGCGTGATGAAGCGCCTCTGCACGATGCTGGTGATCCTGGCAAGTCGTGAAAAAAAGAGAAAAACGGCAACTTTACGTCAAGACCGCCGTGCCGCACTCTGCCCTATGTCGATGCGATGTCGATCATCTCGAAAATCGGAGCATTCGATGTCTACACTGAGACAAGGTGGTGCCCTGAAACTGACCGAGTAAGTCGCCCGCCCCAGTTTTTAGGGCGACTTGGGTCGCCTACTTTCTGGGCGACACAGTCGCCTAGTTTCAGGGCATCTCGGTCATGTAAATACTGAGCTTACTTATCCATGCTGGCCCAAGGCATTGCACACAAGTCTGCCTGCACATGGATAAACTCAATGGATTTCACATTTGGGTGGCGTCAGAGATGCCCCGGATCTAGGCGCAATGGGTGCCCCAAATCTGGGCAGCAGTGGTTTACATTAGGTCGGACCAACCCCAAAAGTGCTCAGGTTGTGGGTGCCTTGGGCCAGCATTGATAAGTAAGCTCTGTATTTACGACCAAGATGCCCTAAAACTAGGCGACTGTGTCGCCCAGAAAGTAGGCGGAGTCGCCCTAAAAACTGGGGCGGGCGACTTAGTCGGTCAGTTTCTGGGCACCACCTTCTCTCAGTGTGCTCGATCGATGTCTTTTCGACAGTCCACTCTTCAGGCTGTATGGCGAATAACCAGATTATTTAAAGTTATGGAGTAAGTGTTACCTGTCGATGGCCACGACGTAGGCGTTGTTGGCGTTGCGTTGGGCCCCGACGTGCTTCCCCAGAGCCGTGTCTGCGGCAACGAGTCCAAATGTAAAACTACCGTGTTTTCACGCACGAAACAGGTCTCCACCCCGTGGAGACCCGTAAAGGTGGCAAAAATTCTGGACGCGTTTTGAGCTCCAGAGTCTCTAAATGGGACTCGAACCGAACGTGTGACCCCACCAATGGATAGCTCTCCGAACGAGGAATCCATTGGTGGGGTCACACGTTCGGTTCGAGTCCCATTTAGCGACTCTGGAGCTCAAAACGCGTCTAGAGTTTTGGCCGCCTCCACCGGCTTCTGGCCCACTGTGCGTCATCGGCGTGCCGATGGTGTTCCAGCAGCCTACCGCAGATGACGTCGAGCGCGGCCAGCTTGGCGTAGGGTACGATGTCAAAGGGCGCGCCGCCGAGGTGTATCAACATCTTATCGGCCAGGATGCCAGCCTCCCGCCTCAGCGGTTCCAAGAAGTCGCCCAGCACGCCAGAGTGGAAGGCCGGCGTCAGCAGCTTTCGACGATTGCGCCATTTGTTGCCTCGACAAAAAAAGTTGTAAAAGTTATTTTTGGTGTCCATCAGCGTCGCCACAGCACAGTGGGCCAGAAGACCGGTGGAGGCGGCCAAAACCCTAGACGCGTTTTGAGCTCCAGAGTCGCTAAGCAGGACTCGAACCGAACGTGTGACCCCACCAATGGATTCCTCGTTCGGAGAGCAATCCATTGGTGGGGTCAGACGTTCGGTTCGAGTCCCATTTAGCGACTCTGGAGCTCAAAACGCGTCTAGAGTTTTGGCCGCCTCCACCGGCTTATGGCCCACTGTGCACAGTCACTTCAAGCAGGGTCGGCCATCGCTGCCCCACTTCAATTTAAGTCGGGCGGCGACACTACGTTGCGCTGGCTCTCCTATGACGGACGGCGGGCGAGAGGGGCGAGAGGGGAGGGGGATGTCGGCCCACAGGTGCGTCGCAGAAGCCGACGCCAGCAGTTTGTCCAGCCGTCTGATTCCGAGCACTGCTTTCGTCGCTCTGTCTCTCTCGCACTCATGGGGCGGTCCGTAGGGGTGCGAGAGAGACAGAGCGACGAAGCAGTGTTCGGAATCAGACGGCAGCGTCCAACGGGCAAAAAAAAAATGAAACCCAAACACAGACGGTCAAGCTCTACGCGTGTGGGAGGGGAGGGCCCAAGGTGAAGCGGAGGACGCGCAGCTCTGTGCGCGCGGAACGCAAAAATTATGCGCCGCGCTGGACCGGGAAGCGCGGCGCACACAGCGCTAAATCGGGAAGGTGAGTGGACTCGGTGCCGGCCTCGGTGCAGCGCGCAGCTGCAGCAGGAGCAGGGGCACGGCAGGAGAGAGAAAGTCGTCGCGGCCCCGCCCCCTCCATCCCGGGGGTCATTGTGTCGACTCGAGTTGACGGCCACAACAGGACCGGATATTTTTGCGCTCGGCGCGGTGCAGCGTGCTTCACTGTATCGGCGTCCCCTCTCCCTCCCTCTCCCCCCTTGTGCAGCAGTGAATGCAATGCAGGTCAGCGCGTCTCGGCCAGATCACTTTCTGTCTGGGTCAAGTAAGGCTCGCTCATTGCCGCAGTGTTTTCTCCGAGGGGGAAATCACTCCTAAAACCTGCGACCCGACTATTACGCCTATAACGCTCTATTACGCCTCAAAATATAGGGATTTAGCTGAAAACAGACCAAAAAACCCCTAAAATAGATCAAATTTTGAGAATTTCGGCTATTACGCTACTATTACGCACACTACTACGTGTGCTATTACGGACACAGTGGACTATTACGCGAGTGCTTTCCCCCTCGCTTTTCTCGCTGTCTCTCTCGCACTCCCACGGAAGGGGCCAGCCGAAGTAGGCGAAAATTTTACGAGGTTGCCTACCGTCAAGGGGCAACACCCAATAGTACGGTGGTTTAGGCTTCTTTCGAAGCGAGCTAACCACGAAAATTCACAGAATTCTAGACTTTTACCTAACTTTTGCCATTTTCAGAGTACAAGCACACGCCACACAATCTACGGTAAATTTCCCCCCCCCCCCAACGCCACTTCCGGCGCCCTTGCCCACGGAACGCTCCATAAACCTACGCGAGAGAGATGGAGCGACAAAAGCGCTGTTTACATTCAGCCTGCAGTGACACGCGGTACGCGTTGGAGAGCCTACCTGTGCTGGTGACGAGCCCCTGGCCGACCCACGCCTCGACGAACTTGTAGTCGGGGCTCTTGTCGATGTGCTCGCCCGAGTTGAGGATCGGCTGAGGGCGAGAAATGGACACAGCGTTGCCACACAAGTAGATCGAGATTTTTTGGACGCACCAGTGTCGAAATCGAAAGAGCTGCGTAGGCAATATCAAGGAGGGCGGCAACCCTTTCGACACTACTGCCTCGCACAGTGGTCCAGAAGACCGGTGGAGGCGGCCAAAATTCCCGACGCGTTTTGAGCTCCAGAGTAGCGAAATGGGTCTCGAACCGAACGTGTGAGACCACCAATGGATTGCTCTCTGAACGAGGAATCCATTGGTGGGGTCACACGCTCCGTTCGAGTCCAGTTTAGCGACTCTCGAACTCAAAACGCGTCTAGAATTTTGGCCACCTCCACCGGTCCTCTAGGCCACTGTGCGTCGTGGGAGTTTCAGCCGACTCACGAGACATCACTCGATTGAATTGAAACTCAAATGACGGCCAAACACTGAGGGCATTTGGTCCAGGGAGCGGAAGAAGGGTATAAGTCGAGTTGAATCCGTGCACTTTTGCAAGGCCTAAGCCTTGCAGGTGGGAGAACAGGTGGGGAATGTCATCTAAAAATAGATGCAAGAGGATGGGACTTGTCTCACCACACTTATTTTTGGACCAAATTTTCGCTCATGTTTACTTGATAGACTGATAAGAGGTCACTGAATCAACTCGACTTAACCCCTTCTTCCGCTTCCTGGATCTTGTCACATACTCTTCGGTGAACCTAACCAAAGTGATGCACAGAAACACGCGAACAATACTCGCAGCGCCCGCCGCTGACAAGGCTTGGTGGGTACCTGGACGGCCTCGGCCGAGTGCAGGAAGATGAAGGGCCTGGTGCCGACCCACAGCCGGAACATAGGTCCGTAGGCGCGCGCGCACGTCCCCATCAGCTTGAAGAAGTCCTCCTGCGTGCCCGTGAGCTGCAGCGCGTTGCCCAGCAGCGGCAGGGCCCTGGGGCCGGGCACGCCGCGCAGCGCGGCCAAGAAGCGCACGCGCCTGGCCGCCGACACGACCGTCACGACCACGGCGAGCACGCAGCACGCGGCCACCAGCAGGCCGCTCAGCAGGCCGCGGGGCAGCAGCGACCACGACGCCGCGTCCACCTGCATCAGAACCAGGATGGCGATGACGAACAAACGGGGGCCTCGCCGCTGACATCCGAGCAGCTCGCCGAGCGCCTCGACGGTGGCCTCGTCGTGCTGCACGCGCCGAGGCTGGCGGGCAGCATCAAGGAGGCCGTCAACGCGCTCGGAATCAGAGCGAATGACTGGAAGCGAGGCGCCGGCCCAGCGGGCGAACCCGGCGAACCCGCACCAGGACGTGACAGTTGCAAGCAGGCATACTCTCCACACGAGTAAAAATAATTTGTGGTTGCGGCACTCAAGCGATGGCACCCGTACCACAGTGGGCCAGCAGACCGGTGGAGGCGGCCAAAACTCTAGACGCGTTTTAAGCTCCAGAGTCGCTAAATGGGACTCGAATCGAACGTGTGACCCCACCAATGGATTCCTCGTTCCGAGAGCAATCCATTGGTGGGGTCACACGTTTGGTTCGAGTCCCATTTAGAGACTCTGGAGCTCGAAACGCGTCTAGAGTTTTGGCCGCCTCCACCGGTCTGCTGGCCCACTGTGCGTACCTGTGGGCCTTCGAATGTGTGCCAGTGAGCTGCCGTGCGCGGCCCTGAAGCCACCTGAAGACTAAGCTGCGTTCGCCGTGCTGTCTCTCTCGCTCCCCACCGGGCCGCTCCATGAGTGCGAGAGAGACAGAGCGACAAAGCGCTATTCGGAATCCGCGTCCCCGTCCTCCAGGGCGCGTTTTGAAATCCCGCGAGGCGGAGCGCGGCCGGGGTTTTTCCACTGCAGGCGCCGATGCACCGCGATGCACCGTCCACAACATGTACTGCGCCGCCGTCAGAAGCGCCTCGCCGACTCCTCGACGGCGTGGACGACGCGGTCGTGTCTCTCAATGCGAAGGCGACACTCACCGTTTCCGCCATGCTGGCCGTGGACGCGCTGCTGGTGGTGCTGGTGGTGGTAGTGGTGCGGTCCTTGCCGGCCTCTAGGTCAGGTGCGTCAGGACGGAGCGAGGCAGGTCGGGTAGGGGGAGCATGTAGGGCTCCGCGTGCGCGCTGCTTCTAGTCTGGACTGAAGCGGCGAAGGCGAAGCGCTGCGGAGTGCGGACACATGCCTTTGCGTCTGACTTGGCGGCGTTGCGGGCGTTGCGCCGCCATCGCCATCGCCCCATCGCCCCCTCAGCCGCCGCCCCCTCCACTCTCCACGCCCTCCACGCTCCAGGCCTGGCCCTGGCCCGCCCCGGCCCGCCCTGGCCCGCCCTGGCCTGGCCCGCCCGGCCGCCCTGGCCCGCCCTGGCCCGCCCGGCCCGCCCTGGCCCGCCCCGGCCCGCCCGGCCCGCCCTGGCCCGCCCTGGCCCGCCCTGGCCCGCCCGGCCCGCCCTGGCCCGCCCGGCCTGGCCCGCCCGGCCCGCCCTGGCCCGCCCTGGCCGCCCGGCCCGCCCTGGCCCGCCCCGGCCCGCCCGGCCCGCCTGGCCCGCCCTGGCCCGCCCTGGCCGACCCGCCCGACCCGGCCCGCCCCACAGCGGCCCGGCGCCCGAAGGGCTGGCGGTGGCGGCGGTCAAGTTTCGCTGGGCGAACAAATATTTTCACCGTTGTTTCCGTCTACAACGCACCACGGAAATGATTCCGAGGGGATCGTTTTTATTAATTCGTCTGTAGTTTATCCGAGAGGGCTATAATGTGCATCGCATTGCCAAGCGCAACATGCAAACCGTACACGAGAAACGAGACGGAAATTACACTAAGGGCGGCGTCTTTCTGAAGGAACCTCGGACCTTCCGGCGGTATTGAAGTTGGCCGTTTGTGGGTTCGCGCGCGGACCACCACGAGGGCAGCGCTAGTACGCGCCGCGCCACTATTTTGCCTCGTCGGCACTTGGCGCGCCGAACTGCGTCGCCTGCAGGCGGCGCGGCGGGGCTGGGCGGCAAGACAGGACTCAACTCGTCTCGTCGAGGTCCACGTGAAGCGAGTGGAGCGGTCATGCACCCGCCACGCGCAGCGCGCCGCGCATCCACCGAGCGGACCACGCGCGCGACGCGACCCAATGCCCCACAGGCCGTCATCCTCTACCCGAGCCTCTCGTCGTCGGTCGTCGGGGACCCCCAGCTCCAGGAGGCCCAGGAGCGCAGTGGGCCAGAAGATCGGTGGAGGTGGTCAAAACTCTAGACGCGTTTTGAGCTCCAGAGTCGCCAAACAGGACTAGAACCGAACGTGTGACCGCATCAATAGATTCGTCGTTCGGAGAGCAATCCATTGGTGGGGTCACACGTTCGGTTTGAGTCCCATTTAGCGACTCTGGACTTCAAAACGCGTCTAGAGTTTTGGCCGCCTCCGCCGGTCTTCTGGTCCACTGTGCCGCGGCGACAGTCAGTCCTCCTCGGCGCGCGGAGCCGATGTGGTGCCACTGCCACTGGCCCGGGGATTCCGCGTGGAGCCCGTCAACGAGCCCACGGCGTGGGAACCACCACCCCCTCTCCGGGGCCCTCTCCGGGGTCGCCCGCCCCGCCCGCCTCCCGGCCGCACTCCGCACTGAGGTCGTACACGCGCCGGCTGCAGGGGTCCGCGACCGCCGCGCGGCCACGCGCCGAAAACAGTGGAGGGGACGCAGACGGCTGTCCGCCCTACCCTACCCCGCCTTGTCCGCACTCCGCAGCCTCGCGGTTCGTCGGCCTAGCCACCGCCACACTGGCGAAGGCGAAGACGAATTAGCGGACGGTCCGGACGGCCCGGACGGGTCTCGAGGACCACGATGACGACGCGCGTGCGTTCGGCTGGCAGTGGCCGTGCTTCGCCGCTTCCCGCTGTCCCGGCGTTTAGGTCTCCCGGAGTCCGGGCCGACTGTGTGCACGGTCTGTACACTGTACACGCGTGATGCGTTACGCCCCGCGACCCGGCGCCGCCCGACCTGGCCCGGCCCTGGGGCACAACGTCAACGTCATCACCGACAGCGGACGGAAGTGGTCTCGACATTAGAGACACAACCGAGAAAAAAAACAACGAACGAAAACGCAACCTTTTTCAGTTCGTATTTTAGGGCCGCCGTGTTACGACCAGTGGCATATTTTTCCGTTCCGTGCGGTTTTTAGTTTGATTGTGTTTTCTGTTAGATGTCCTGAATTTGGTCAGCTTGTGGGATTTACCTGACCAGGCGGGAGGAAACTGAAAGCACTCTCGACTTTAATGGGAAAACTGTTTTATTTCTTATGCAGATGAATGGGCGAGCTATTCACACATGAACTTAAAACAGATAACGATTTTATTTTACTTTTGAGACTAGTAATGTGAAGAACATTTTAACAGGGACAAATGCGCTTAAAAACAACGACACTAGTTTTCGCGCCTCCCAACGCCGCAGCAGCTCTCAAAAGTCACAATAATAATTTAAAATGCTTTCATAAATATTTCGGCCGGCGTTGACTGGCCTAAAACAGGCGGCGGTCGCAGCAGCACCGAGTGATGAGGTTGTGCTCGTAGCAGGACTTGGAGTGCAGGAAGGAGCAGTCGGCCAGGTTGCACTGAGGAGGCAGAGCTGCAACCCACAACACCTCGCAATTAACACCTCAAAATTAAAAGGCGATAGACACGTTTTTTTTTGTGGGGAGAGTGGGGGACTTACGTTGCGAGTCCCTGAGGCAGCAGCAGGCGTCGTGCAGCAGTCTGTCGCCGCAGTAGCTGTAGACGGAGGGGTGGCACTCCGGGCAGTCGGGCCGGCGCCGGGCCTGCCCGAACACGGACGCGCCACCGAAGTTCCTCGTCTGGCCCTCCACGGCCGCCGCGGCCTCGCTGCTCCCCGAGAAGCCGAAGCCGCCGTCCGCGTCGGCCAGCAGGCGGGACTCCGGGGCCGCCGGGGCCGCGGGGGACGCAGCGTTCCGCGACGTGGGGGTGTCGGGGAACGCCACTGCAAGGGGTGTAAACGAACGGTCAAGGCGCGGCGTGCAGCCTCAGTACACGGCAGCCCGCCGCGCGCGGACGCTCGATGGGCTGCCTGCCCAGCACGGCGCGCACCCACGCCGCACAGTGGACCAGAAGACCGGTGGAGGCGGCCAAAACTCTAGACGCATTTTGAGCTCCAGAGTCGCTAAGCTGGACTCGAATCGAACGTGTGACCCCACCAATGGATTCCTCGTTCGGAGAGCAATTGATGGGGTCACACGTTCGGTTCGAGTCCTATTTAGCGACTCTGGAGCTCAAAGCGCTTCTGGAGTTTTGGCCGCCTCCACTGGTCTTCTGGCCCACTGTGCGGCGGGACTCTCAGACACTGTAAGGCAGGCAGACCAGACACTGAGCGCCGCAACGCGGCAGGGCGTTTAGCCCCCGAACACCTTTCCCAGCTGCTGTGGGAACAGAGTCAGTTTTTATTTTTTGTTTGCCGCGTCCTGAGGCACACTGAATGGATTATTTACGTCTCCAGCGTAGAGGAAAATTGTATGAATGCGATTCGGGTGAGCCACGTACTCACCGCTGCTCTACCACACCTCCCCGGCGTACTCTACCTTTGGCCGCGTCGGCTGTCCTCGCCACTGCGAGGCAGCAGACCGCCGCGAGCGCCCAGCTGAGTCGCTTGGTCGACACCATGGCGGAGATCGTCGAGATGTCTGTGCCTGTCAACAGAGCGACTCGACACGCTGTAAAACCCTCGTCACCGGCCGGCACACTGTCGAGCGCGGCGCTACTCCGCGCTAGTGGCGCTGGCGCGAGGAGTACACCCGCCGCGCAGACCGACTCCCGCCGCACCGCTTCGCTGGCTTCCCCGCCCGGCCGCAGCGCCGCCGCTACCCCGCGGTCGCGGGGTACTTCGCCGGGCAAGAGCATTTCCCCAAACCAAGAGCATTTCTTCGAGTCAAAAGCATTTCCCCAGGCCAAGAGCATTTCACCACGCCAAGAGCATTTCCCGCCAAGAGCATTTCACCAGGCCAAGAGCATTTCACCAGGCCAAGAGTATTTCTCCAAGTCAAAAGCACTTTCTTCTGGCATTTTCTTCGCCTTTGGGGTTACGATAAGCTTTGGCCGCCATATTTGGGTCACTATAATAGTCAGAAAGTGTTCCAGTGTGCCAGAGGGGCCGCCTGGAGGGTAGGCCCTCCCGCCACGCTCCAGCGCTCGGCAGGCCGGCCTACCCCGCACGTGGCAGGCGCCATGCAGGCGCGCACGCCGCACAGTGGGCCAGAAGACCGGTGGAGGCGGCCAAAACTCTAGACGCGTTTTGAGCTCCAGAGTCGCTAAATGGCACTCGAACCGAACGTGTGACCCCATCAATGGATTCCTCGTTCGGAGAGTAATCCATTGGTGGGGTCACACGTTTGGTTCGAGTCCCATTTAGCGACTCTGGAGCTCAAAACGCGTCTAGAGTTTTGGCCGCCTCCACCGGTCTTCTGGCCCACTGTGCGCCGACGGAACGACGGAACGACTGCACGGCCGGCGCGTTAAAACGTCGAATCGAAGCGCGTGATTGGGTAACGATGACGCGTTAGCGTTACCGTTAGGGCCGCCGGGAACGACTCGGGGAAGAAAGGGGAAGGGAGGGGGGGGGGGTGCTGGGGCGGGTCTAGGTATGTCGGCGATGAGGACGCGATGCCCGCGATGTGAATGACCCTTCCTTTTGCTGCTGCCCAACCCGTCCGCCCACTGACCGCACCATGACCGGCTCGGCTCGGCTCGGCTCGGCTCGGCTCGGCTCGGCTCGGCTCGGCTCGGCTCGGCTCGGCTCGATCAGCCCCGCGGCCCCTCCGCACCTTAAACTTTACACTCTAAAACGAGACTCCGCTCGTTGAATCGACATTGCAATTATTAATCTGGCGGCGCGCTTTGCGCAATCGGCACCCGTTCCCGTCTCCTTGACCCCTTCGCCAAAAAATGAAAGACTCCGCGAGACCGGTTGGTGCCAAAACACCCCAGCGGCCGGGGAACCAGGGAACCACCCAGGGCGACTAACGGTGCCGAAATGACGCAATGACCAATAACAACCGGATTCTCCCTCGCTCACGGGTACCACAACCTTGATAACAAAAATCAAAACTGAGAATCTATTTAGTGAATCGCGTTTTCGTGTCGGCGAAGGCGCACCGAAATGACAAACCTGAGTCGGTTAAGCGCTTGCTGTGCTCTGCACGCAATATGCACTTCCAGTAATCTTTTCCTTGTGAAGTAGAATTTGGGATTCGATTTTCACTGGCCGCGTGACGGCACCCTAATGGAATTCCGCGACGCGCACAGCGCACAGAGTGACCCACAGGACAGGGCCCGGCCCTTCCCTGGACACGGTCTTACAACCGAGGTGTAACGGACAGAATTCGGCCAGCCCCGCACTGAAAAACCAAACGTGGTCTAGGCCTCACCACTGGTGTGGTCAAATGGGTGCCATTTTGACCGCATCAGTTGGTGTGGTCTAGACCACGTTTGGTTTTTCAGTGCGCGCAGCCCCCTGAGCGAGGTCCACGCCTTAAACCGCACTCACGCGACACTGTAACACTGACTAACTCCACTGCACTTGCCTGTCGGTCAGAAGGCTGGTCCGGCCCTCTCGGACTGCAGGCACTGCAGGCACTGCACTGCTCCAGGCGGCTCCGGCTCCAGGACTCTCCAGCTGATCGCACTGCACACGTGCGCGTGCGACTGGAGCTGCGCGCCGGAGTGCCGGGCCGGAGTGCTGGAGTCCAGAGTCAGGGACCTCGGCCGCGTGCAGGGGGAGGAGAAGGGAGGGGAGGGGGGAGTGCAGGGAACAACAAGGTGCCAGCGCGCGCGGGATCATCTCATCCTCATCGCACCTCGGTCAACAACAGCAACCAACAAAAACAGGGAAGAGCCTTGTCGGAAGGGCAGTGGGATTATTCGCGCGCCTCTCTTTGAAAGCTGGAAACGCCCCAACGCGGACGACCGGTAACGTGGCGGTGCTGGCCTGAGGCTGGGCTGGGCGTGGCGCGGCACAGTGGGCCAGAAGACCGGTGGAGGCGGCCAAAACCCTGCACGCGTTTTGAGCTCCAGAGTCGCTTAACAGGACTCGAACCGAACGTGTGACCCTACCAATGGATGCCTCGTTCGGAGAGCAATCCATTGGTGGGGCCACACGTTCGGTTCGAGTCCTGTTTCGCGACTCTGCGGCTCAAAACGCGACCAGAGTTTTGGCCGCCTCCACCGGTCCTCTGGCCCACTGCGCGGACGCCAGATGGAAGCGGCAGCAGCCTGTGTCCTTGCATTAATACGCCCTGCCTAGCCGCGCTGGCTGCGCTAGCCCGGCCGGCCGGTCGCCATGGCGACGGCGTTCTCTCATTACATCAATTAGGGCGAGGCGCTCGACGTGTCCAGGACTTGTCCCAATGACGTGTCCAGAACGCGTTCGTCGCGGAGGTGCGGCACGGCCGCGGACACCCCAGAGTCCGTGTAACCAGGACGCGAGCCGAACACGTGGCCGCGCCGATGGGCGCCTAAGGGTAATCCAGAGGCGCAGTCACGTGTTCGATTCGAGTCCCGATCGAGAGTATCGTAGTCACGACGTGTCCAGCGTTATGCCAGCCTGCACCGCGCTGGCGTTGTGGCCGCCACTCGACGCGGCGGACAGGACACTCGCAAGTCCGGTCAGGTGCCGTCGCCGCGCGTCGCCGTGCCTTGGCTAAGGCGTTCGGTGTCCGACGGTGACGCTGAAATGACAGCGGCGTCCGAAACTGTCGTGTCACCTCCAAGGCGGTGGCGCGGCAGGCCGGCAGCGTGGCCGTAGGCTGTAGATGGCCTCCACCGGGCCGCAGGGCCGCGGGGCCGCGCGGGGCCGCGACGGCTCTGAGCTGCAGCACCCGCACTTGCAGGCCTTCCCTCTGATCGACCAAGAGCCCGGCGGACACAACGGGAAGGGTTCGAGGCGCCGCGCAGTGCAGCGCCGCGCATGCCGCCATGCAAGGCCGGGTCGAGGGCCTCGCGCTTTGCAATTTTGGAGGTGCTCGTCGAACCCGTGTCGCTGTTTGGTATGGCCGAGGGGTGACCCACTGGAAAACTTTATGTACAATGATTGTGTGAATGTGCAAGATTGTGCAAGATTTCTGGCGTTTTTGCCACACGTGTTGCCTACTTACAGGCGTTTTTGCCACCTAAATGTGGAATGTGGTCAAATTTTGTACAACGAATGTGGGAAGCTGTTCCCCCCTCGGGTATGGTTCATATGTTTCGCTGAGACTGATTTGATTGACTCGGCCAAAGATTGATTGAAAGACTGCCTCTTATTATTGTTGTCTATTGTTTGGTCCAGCTCTATACTGGCAATGTTTAGCCAGGTCTTTTTTCAACGGGCCAATTTCTTGATCACTGGCAAAGTCACATTTGCTTCGCAGTTTCTTTTAGTGTTTTTGGTAATTTTTACAGGAGTTTAAGGGTAATAAGTAGAGAGACAATTGTTGGTATTTTTAATTCTTTATTTTTGATTTCTGGAGCAACACTCCACACCAGTTCTGACAAGATCAGAAGTCAGCCACGCACACGAATGCACACATTCAGACTATCTCAGGTACAAAACGTCGATCGGTATAAATAATAAATGGAACTGATAGGTCTCGGTCACACTTTTAAAATAAAAGTCAAGACCCACTTTAAGACAGCAAAAGCCTCAATGACACACCATCAACACACCAATACGTAAAACAAATCCTTGGAGTCACCTTCAATAGTAAATGTACTAAAAGACGACGAAAAGCCTCAATTACACACCTGATTAAAAAAATCAGAACACGACCAACTGCCCCATGAGGTGGTCCTTGGTTTGGACCACCTCGGCTTATGTAACGAAAAGAACACATTTTATTGTACATGAACTTAGCCCCAATTATTGAGCCACACACATCAGAACGCCAACTTCTTCATGAGCAGGTACATGGCTTGGTCCACCTCGAAGCCGTGCAGGTTGTTGGCATCGCCCTGGAGACGCATGAGAAGTCCTCCGAACGACACGTAGGCTGCCCTGAAACAGTAAAATAAAACCAAACTTAGATCCCGTTTGTTGTTGCTGTTTTCTTGAGCACGCGCCTGCCAACGACCGCAAACATTTCTGTCTCTCTCGCACGCTTGCAGCGGCCGTTTGCAAAGGCAAAGGTGTGCCAAACCCAAGGACAACGAGGCCGTCGCCACTTCCTTGCAGTTATTTATTCAGTCTGAGGAGAGGATCTGGAGAGCTACCAGGCTATCCGTCCGACTGTCTCCCTCGCAGGCGGACAGACACGCAAGTGCGGTCACAGAGTTCATCAAGCACAAACGACTACACGTCGGATTGTGCAGCCCTAGAGCGGCGAGCTGGCGGACGACCGCGGGGGCAGGCCATCGTACAGTGCGACGGCACGACGACGGCACCGCAGCGGGCCCCAAACGTTACGTAACGCCGGTCTTGTGACACGTCACAGTGTCACAGTGTAACCCGGTGTCAACCGTACGTCAATTCGCAATGCGCGTCGCCGTCGGCTTTGTAACGAGGCACGGACGTGGCCGTCGACCCGCCCTTGCCGCCCTGTTCCGACAAATTACATCGGCATTCACGAGCAAGCAGCCCGCACTGAGGGCCGAGGGCCCCGCAGGGCCACACCCCACCTGCCAGCCCTACGGCCCTACGGCCCTACGGGTCTGCCTCGGGTCTGCCCTGCGCGGGGAGCCCTGTAGGGCTTGGCAGCGCTCGGCTCGCGTCCCGCACGCCCCGCGCGCCGCGGAATGGTAGCCGGTGCCAGGCCGGCCAGCCCCGCAGGCCCGCCTGACATTTGTGACCGACCTGTTGGTGCGGGTTCGGCAATTGACATTTAGATGGACGGGAATTGGGCGGGAGGGGGGGGGGCTGGGCTAGAGCACCGTGAGCGCTAGAGAGGTGCTAGTGAGGCGAGCCGATAGAGAGCTAGAGAGGCTTGGTGGCGCCTGGCCGCGAGGGCCGCGTTCGCCGAGCCGGCCGCCTCGAGCGAGGGGCCTCACAGTGGGCCAGAAGACCGGTGGAGGCGGCCAAAACTCTAGACGCGTTTTGAGCTCCAGAGTCGCTAAATGGGACTCGAACCGAACGTGTGACCCCACCAATGGATTGCTCTTCGAACAAGGAATCCAATGGTGGGGTCACACGTTCGGTTCGAGTCCTTTTCAGCAACTCTGGAGTTCGAAACGAATCTAGAGTTTTGGCCGCCTCCACCGGTCTTCTGGCCCACTGTGGGCTTGGGGCCCGGCCTGCGGAGCGATGCCGCTCAGTGTTCCGTCGCTCTACCTGTCTCTCTCGCACCGCGACGGCATGCCCGGCGAGTGCGAGAGAGACAGAGCGACGAAAGCACTGTTCGGCACCAGCCGGCATGCCCCGGCCGGGCCGGCCTGCCAGTGGGCCTGCCCCCAGAGGGCGCCTCGTCGGCGTGCGGGGTCAATTGGAGAACCAGCGCCCTGCCGGGCCGCCAGGCCGTCCAGCCGGCACACACACACACACACACGCACACAGAGACACACACTAGTGACGTCAGATTCACGCAGCCAATCATTGCACGAGTGCGTATACAATCAGCGAGCACCGCGTGAGCAGATCCTACAGCCGCTCCGTCTCTCTCTCTCCCTACGACGACGGCAAGTAAAGCGAGGCGATGCGCTGCCAGTGGCGTGGGCAGCAGTGGCGGGGAGGACCTTCGGGGAGTCCCGAGGGAAGTCCAGGTGTCTTCGGGGCGTCCAGCGTGCTGATGCAGCTCCAGCCGGTGCGGCGCAGGGCAGCGCCGCCTGTATGGCAGTGGAGATAGTGGCTGTTGTCAAAGCCCACAACCAGCTAACCACACTGCCACACTGGCTGGCACAGTGGCCGCTTCGCCGCTTGGCCGCTTGCGGTTGTGGCTCCGTGTGTTGAGGAAGGGCTCCCGCTTGCTCCTGCCTGCCTCGGCTCCTGCAGTGCGGACAGCGTGCGCGCGCGGTGGTCGCTTTCGAATGGTATCCACCGCGCAGAAAACACACACTTCTCGGACGTTTCCCTTGGCACTCAGGAGACCTCCGGCGGTGCCGTCTATCAGAAGTATCTATAGAGAGATATGCGACAGATTTTTCTGTTTGGGCAACTATTTAACTGGCGTCTCTATGGGTGGCTTGCTTTGACTCAGTAGAATCGACGAATAAAGTGAGGTTATGGTTTGACGCTAGCTCTTGTGCGCACCTGTTCAGTGGCTCATGTAAGATCGTGATTTGTCCGATATCGTGACAGTGCACGGTTATGAAATTTTTGATTTCTTTCAGAATTTGTGGAACATTGTGGGGTGATTTCTCTTCAACGAAGTAGTATGTTTGGTGAACACCGATATTAGGCCCGTTTTTCATTTTCTGGCTCACGAATACCTCTTAATCTGAAACAACAATTGAGTCAAACCAAGCGCACTCCAGGCGTTACTTGCACTAAGAGAAACGCTGTCTTTTAGGACATGAATTGAATTCCATCGGCTAAACCAATGCTTACAGTTCGCACTTTATCTGCGCAAGCACGTAATTAATTTGGTGATTTTTCGTCATGTAAAATTTCTGTAACACTCACGTGTCATTTTTCAAAAAACATTTTCCATTTCTGACCAAACTTTCGCAACCGTCACACATAAAAACAACACAGAAGCAGTTCAATCACATTTATTTTATTTTATACTTGAAGTACAAAATACTTAATGATACGGCGAGTAACAAAATAAATACCTCATTCACAAAGATTCCACAATAGAATAAGAAAAGATTCCACAATAGAATAAGAAATTATCACATGTCATCACGCTTGCATACAGAGCAAGGTCTTAAAAATAAAATACAGAAAATAAAAACAAGACAAAGAAAAACAAGGTTGAAAAAGAAAGGGTTCGCAGTGCGCGGGAATACGAAACGACGATACAGGTGTCTCACATCCGCCGGCGTAGACTAGGTAGAGGTGGCGGGCCGGGCGGGCGGGGGCCACACGGGGGAGAAGGGGGGGAGGGGGCACCACCACGTAGGCAACTCAAATCAGTCCGGAAACCTCGGTCAACTTCAGTACATCGAATACAAAAAAGTGACGGACGGCAGCACACTGTTAAAAAGACTTCGGAAACCAAAATTTGCCTAGTTTAGACAAAACAGAAAAATTGCCTTACGGCAATTTTAAAAATTAATTTGTCAATGCTTGTTTTCCTTTCAACAGTGCGGTCTCCTTAAGAAGGCGGGTTGGAGCCGTCTGAAGAAGCCGCGTGGCCGCGTCCCAAACATCGATTCTGCATCAATAATTTAGCGGGCCCATTGCCGGCATTGCCGGCGGTGGGCAGCCCTAGCAGCCCCGACATGGCGCCGAGCATGGCGCCGAGCATGGTGCCGAGCATGGTGCCGAGCACGGTGCCGAGCATGGTGCCGAGCATGGTGCCGAGCATGGTGCCGAGCATGGTGCCGAGCATGGTGCCCCGCGTGCCAGCCCCTCCAGCCCCAGTGAGCGCCCCGCCAGCCACCCGCGTGCGACGGCGCGGACGGGGAGGACGCAGCGGACCGCAGTCCAGTCCTCTGGCTTAGGCGGACACGCCCCGCGTGCACGCTCACGCACTACTCGTGCTTCTCGCGCGTCACCAATGCAAATGGCCGGGCGACTGCGCAACGAGCCTCGTCGCCGAGGCAGAGGGCAGAGCGGGCAGAGCGGGCAGAGGGAGGGCCCCGAAGTGTCGTACCAGATAGTGCATTTACACACTGGGAGCGTTCGCCGTGCAAATGCGCCTCTGGCACGGACTCGGGAGCCCGGGAGCCGTCCTGGCGGCCGACGCCGTCCTGGCGGCCCACCAGGAGGCCGACCTGGAGGCCGGGCCGGGGACGAGGGTCTCCTAGAGCGACCCAATCTAGAGGTCGGGCCGGGCCGGGGTCGCAGAGGGGCCTGTGGGCCGCCAAGGCGCAGCAAGGCGGCAGCTGGAGCGTCGGATGCACCGTCACGCGCAGCGCGCAGGGGGGCGTGGCGTGGCCGGGCGGGGCACACTGGCAAAGCCAGCGGCAGAGCCAGCGCGCCCAGCGCAGCTAGCGCCACGCCAGAGGCAGTGGCGGAGCCGTGCATTCATGAGGTCCCCGTGTCACCATGTTCGTTCATTCATCCATTCATTCTTTCATTCACTCATTGCAGCAGTCGTCGGCGTCGTCCAGAGTCAAGTCCACGCGGCCGCTTCCGAGGGCCCAACCGGGGGGAAACACTAGTTCGCCAAGGCTAGGACACGCTAGGGACAGGCGACGCGGCAGGGCGGCAGGGCTGCGGATGCACCGAGAATAGCGTCCACGGGCAGCCCAAACCTCCCCGAACCTCCCCCCACCCCTATCACGGCCCACCCCTCCCCGGCACTGCCCCGGCAGGTGAACGGGGCAGCAGCACGGCCACTGCATGTCCTCCCTACACTTCGAAAAATACAAAAACGCGATGGGAAAATGAAACCGTAAGCGCGCTGCTCGTGGGGTTCGAACCCGGGACTTTGCGAACGGGGAAGCACGCCGAGCAAGTACACAGGACAGCCGGCCAGGCCGTCGGCGAGGGCAGGTCACTAGGTTGAATCTAGTGCCGTCAGCAAACAGCCTGACCCAGCCCCTATATCGACCCCAATGGGGGCCCGCCGGGGGCCCCGGGGCCCCACGGGGCGCCCCGCCCCGCCTAGAAGTGCCTCGAAGTGCCGGCCCGAGACAGCCAAACAGTTTAGTCAAGTCAGTCACACTGTCAATGGCGAGAGGAGTACTGTGTCGTCGGGAATCGCAGTGACAAGTCCCGAGGGGACGTCAGCTGACACCGTCCCCCGCACACGCAAGCACTCGCACACACACACAAGCACACTCTCACACACACGCGCACACACACTGGGACTCCCAGCTGCAGCTGGCGAGGAGTCAACCATACGTCAGTCCCGAACAGTACCACCCCTGTCCTTGCCTATTCTTTTCTATATCCGTCTCATCTGGTAGCGTCTGTTCCATCTGTCCGTCCGCCTGACACGCACGCACACACAC